GGCGGCTGTAAAGCAGACACCAGTATCTGCGCGCACTGCGGTGGCGGCGGTCACTGGTGGGGCGGCGGCGGCGTACCGGTATTCTAACCTGCCCGTCGTCCGGGCGGCCAAGAACAACGATGTAGCGGCGACGACGGCGGAGTATGCTACGGCGGCTATAGCGGCGGTAACCGATCTCCGGCGACAACACGTCCTAACCTTCCCTCAGTAGGGTGGCCGAAAACGTGTGTGCACGGCGGCGGTGTACGCGACGGCGACTATAGTGGCGGTGGTACTTACGTCGCGGCGGCGGTACTTACGGAGCGGCTGCAGTGATCGACACGCTTTAGCTTTCCTCTCGAAAGGTAGCCGAAAACGTGAGCGCGGCGGTGGTACTTACGGCGCGGCGGCGGTAATCGACACGTTTTAGCTTTCCTTTCGCAAGGTAGCCGAAAACGTGAGCGCGGCGGTGGTACTTACGGCGCGGCGGCGGTACTTACGGCGCAGCGAATATAATCTTCACTAGTTTAGGCCGAATGTTCGGTGACTCTAACCTTCCCGCAGTAGGGTGGCCGAGAGACACTTCACACAAGCCAGGTACTAGTGAAGACTAGTGAGCGGTCGGATGCTTCGGGAGATGACTTAGCTCCCTTATATGCCCTACGCCGGTTCCCCGAGCGTGTAGAAGTGTTGGTATTCTCGGTATTGTTTCATGTTACTCGCGTAGGTTCGCAGTCGGCTGTGTCGTCACTGCGCGCTCTGGTGGTCGTCTGGGCCCGAGCACTGTGCGAGTAACGGTACACTCTGTGTCCGTTACAAACTGCTCTGGAGACCCACACTAGAAGAGCTCCCTGCCGACATACTTCTCCGAAGAACTATCGTAGAGGCCAAGTCCAGGATCACCATAGCATTCTCCAAAATGGTAGAGTCCATTATGGCCCGTCAAGAGGAGTTGGAGAGGAGGAGATAAGGCGCTCAAGCAGCTGCGGCAGCAGACTAACTATAAATTTAGTTAAGTTAATATATGTATATAGGCTGAATGGCCAAAATCAGGGTGGTTAGAGGTTCCCAATGTTTTGTAAAAATATTACCCGCTCGGGTTGTGTCATGTATATATTATTATTGTATGTTATAATTTTGCGTCAATAAACGAAAAAAAAAGGTTAGGTTTGGCATGATCAAGTCAATTGTCGCAAACAGAAAGAAATCCGTCTTCTGGTGGTCTCCGGAAATCAGCTAATCACGCGCGCAGGGTTTTTCAAAGGAAAAGGAAACGCATGGCCCCCCTAGCAGCATCTGCGGAAGAAAGAGCAGCCAAAGACCCCAAGCTGGAGTTAGTCAAGGCAATCAAAGCGGTCAAGGACAGTGCATGGCAGGCGCTCTGTGGGCAGATCGAGAGAGACACCTGGGGCAACCCATATAAGCTAGTCATTGGTAAATTAAAGAGGCACCAGCCTCTACCAGGCCTGGATTCTGCCGACACGGTCGGCCGTATAGTGAACGTTCTTTTTCCCGTCCATCCTCCTCGCACACCCAGACACTGGCCCAGCATTCCGGATTCAGATCTCGACGGTGCATCTATCACACCTGAAGAGGTGCTACTAGCGGAAATGCGTACCAAGAACAAAATCTCTCCTGGACCGGACGTCATCCCAAATGAGGAACGAACATCGGAGATTGGAGTCATTCAGATTAACCTAAACCATTGCTGGACATCGCAGCAGCTACTGCTCCGAACGATGGCTGAGGGGGCCGCGGTACTTGCGGACATATCAGATTATAACCGGCCGATGGGTGACTCCGATCACTGGATATCGAGCCTGGACAATAAATGCGCCGTATTCGTCCCAAATGCATCGGATATAACCATCGCTGACCGTTTAGCGGGTGCAGGCTTTGCCTGGGCGAGGATCGGAGATTTAGTGTTTTACAGCTGTTATTGTTCGCCAAATTGCACGGTTCAGGAGTTCGACCTGTTCCTTGGTGGCCTGGAGGACTCGATCCAACACCTACCGGGAGCACCCTCAAATCTCCTAGTGGCAGGTGACTTTAAGTTACACTCCCCGGAATGGGGCTCGGCTACAATTGACATCAGGGGCTGCATGTTTTCCGACTTCGCCACTACAATTGGTCTTGTAGTCTGCAATGTCGGCTCAAGATCGACCTACCGGTGGGTCAATGACGCCTCGGTGATTGATGTTACTCTTGAGCCCGCTCTCCCTCACTCCCGTCGACTGGTCTCTGAATGGACGATTCTGGAGGACGTCTACTCCGCTAGCGACCACCAATATATTGCTTTCAACGCACTATTTTTGACGACGCCACTCGTTTCACGGAGGCCAATCGTCGTCCGGACTCTGGGCTGGTCAGTAAAAAAGCTAAACTCAGACGCAGTCAATCTGTTTTGGGATCTAACTGGTCCACCCCCACCACTACTGGCGGCCGCCTCTGCAAGGGAGCATGCCGAGTGACTGAACGTCTTTTTAACGGCATCGTGTAATTCAGCGATGCCTTGTAGAACACTGTTCGCATGTAAGAGGTCCGTTTACTGGTGGAGCAACGATTAGCCGAATTGCGTGAGGTCGCCATTGCTGCTCGGAGACAGTACCAAAGGGCTGGCCGCAGAACTGGGCGAGCTGGAAGGGAAGTCGAGCGCGGACCTTACAGTAGGGTGAGCACGGAACTCAAACGTGCAATTAGGAAGGCACAGGAGAAGAGCTGGGCGGAGCTGTGCCGGTCGGTTGACCCGTGGGGTGTACCTTATAGGTTGGTGACAAAAAGGCTAGGACGCCGCACTTGTTATTGACCTGGCCGCAATGGCTAGCGCGACTCACGGATTATTTCCGCTTTCACCACCGACTGACTGGGAACGAATTCCTACGTCGGGTGGGCAAACGGTGGAGGCTGTAAACCAGCTTGAAGTTCCAACCCAAGTGCCCCTGTTCACTATAGAAGAGGTGGCGCGGGCAGTCGGCAAGCTCCCGGCGGGAAAGGCACCTGGTCCTGATCTCGTGTCCAATGAGGTAATCGGATTGACATTCAGCAGGCATTTTTGTCAGTGGCGTAGCCAGGGGGAGGGCCAGAGGAGCCATGCCCCCCCCCCCCACCATGGGCCGTGTTTTTTTATTATTGTTTTTATATCAGTTATCAGTACGTCCATAGAATATAAAAAAAGTAGAAATGTTATTCATTATCACGATTTAAGATAGGCTCCTCAAAATATGCCAAATGGTGTTAATTATCTATAGCTGCGCTATGGTACCTAGTTCGGTTACAAACGTGAGTGTATCACCACTTACCAACACGACACGCGTATCAATGTTACCAATTGTTTTGTCTAGGCGATCAGCAGTGAATTTTATATAATATTTTATTGTATTAGATGTTCCTTGAGGTAACCGACCGCGCTCGCGTTTCACTAGCAACCACATGCCGCCGGCTTATCACATTCACACTGCCAGCTTATCACGCCACCGGCACGTTACGGCTAGCTAGTTCTCTAATCTCTTGTATAGTTTTGTTCTTATGACTTCGACAAAATTAGTCGCTGGCAACAAAAGCATTGATAACCTATTTACAAAAAGATTGACAATTGACATATTTTGACAAATACTAACTACAAGGCACTTTTACAACAACGACACAACGTTACAGGCGTGTTAAACATTACCGAAAAAAATCAAGTATTTTCCATTTTCAATTGATCAAAAAAACAGAAACTTAATTATGTAAGTTCAACTATCTATATTATTGTAAAATGTATTATAAATTTTTGTAATATGTATTAACCGTATTGTATATGTATAATGTATTATATATTGTATTGGTTCACAAAAGGCTACCAAGAATGAGAATGATAACATTTCGTCTTGTTCAAATACAATATGCAAGGAAAGCGTTTCATCTAAAATTGAACAGCCAATAAATATAGTAAAAAAAGATAATAGTTTGGTATGTAAAACTTTATGACTTAAAATATTGTCAACTATGCTACTTATTTATTTGAGATACTTATAACAGTGTTTTATAATAAATATTATATTATAAATGATAATAATGCTTAATTATTAACTTTATAGAATTCTGAATCACTTGCTTCTCATACACAACAGCATTTGTATGATAATGCCAATTTTGTAGTTGGCCATGCTTTAAAACCTTCTGAAATTGCCAATTGCTTAAAATTTGCTTGGTGTCCTTCACCTGATTATGCTTTTCCACGAAAAATTGAAGGGTCAGGAAAGAATCAACGCAATAGAAAGTTTAAGTACAATTACTTAGAATTGTATCCGTGGCTTGCTTATAGTGAAATAAAAACCGGTGCATTTTGTAAATGGTGTATTTTATTTGCTTTTTCTGGCGGAAGCATTGGGAAACAGGTACCTATTATTTAAATTAGTAAATGTATTTAATTTATTTATAATTAAATATAAACATGCCTATTCCATGTATTACTAGACTATTGATATAAATCAATACTATTTTTTTTTTACAGAAATTGGGTGAATTAGTCACACAACCAATGGTAAAATATAAAGATGCTTTGGCCGATCTTCTAGAACAGGGGTCGGGAACCTGCGGCTCCGGAGCCGCATGCGGCTCTTGTTAATGCAACCTGCGGCTCTTTGTATAATTATCAATATAGATATATCCGTAAAATATAAATTATATTATACGTTATTATAACGACAATAATTCTGATTTTCTCAATAGTTATTTATTAATCTTATCGCACAGTTAGTATTATTGTGTTTATAATATGTATAATATGTATGTTCTATCTATTTTATCTTTATTACATGGATCGGGAATATTTTCATTGTTATTTATTAATCTTATCGCACAATTATTAACATGTGTGTGTTCTATTAAACTCGACTATCATTATTCGGTAGAATACAAAATTATATTAGTCGATACGTGAGCACGGTCCTCGTCAGGTCAATTAAATCAGTGCTACGTTGTTCGGTATTTTTTTCTTGTGCTTTTTTTCCAATAGAGGTATTTCTATAAACTTCGAGATGTCTACAAACAAAAAACGTAAAATTGAAGAGGAAAATAGAGGATTTAGAAGTGAGTGGACTGATACTTATGCATTTGTCTCGAACAACATGGGACAACCAAAATGTCTTATTTGTGACGAAAACTTCAAAAACAATAAAAAATCTAATATTGAACGTCATTTTTTATCAAAACACGATTCTTTTGGTAAGACGTACCCAGCTGGAAATGAAAGAAAAACAGCAGTGGCCGAGTTGATTCGTAAATCTCAACAATCGACATCTAAATTTAATAACTGGTTGCAGTCGGCGTCTAATTTGACTGCAGCTAGGTTTGTTGTATCTCACGAAATCATGAAATCTGGAAAACCGTTCACTGATGGAGAATATATTAAAAAATGTTTTATTGGTATGTCAGAACATCTCTTTTCTGAATTTAAAAATAAAACAGAAATAATCAATAAAATAAAGGATATTCCGTTGTCGGCAACTACTGTTCGTGATAGAGCTGTTAGAATGGCTGAAAATGTCACAGAACAACAGTTTTCCGATCTGAAGTCATCACCTGTATTTTCCTTAGCTTGTGATGAATCATGTGACGTTAAAAACATTGCTCAACTCACTTTAATGGGACGATATGTTTCGTCTACGGGTGTTCATGAAGAATTACTGGGTTTACTATCGCTCAAAGGACAAACTCGAGGAGAGGACATTTGCGCTGCAATTACAAAATTTTGTAAAGAGAAAGAAATCAATTTAGATAAGCTGATATCTCTTTGCACTGATTTATCACCAAATATGGTTGGTAAATATAAAGGATTTGTTACTCTTTTTGGCCAAAATTTGAAACATGAACTACTATCTTTTCATTGTATTGTTCATCAAGAAGCTTTATGTGCTCAAACATTTCCAGTTGAAATTAACCAAGTCATGGCACTAGTAGTGAAAATTATTAACAAAATCATAGCTTCAGCTCTGAACCATTGACAGTTTCGTGCATTACTTGATGAAGTTAATGCCCGATACAAGGATCTTCTAATGTTCAATAATGTACGTTGGTTATCGAGAGGGGCTGTTTTGAAGCGCTTTACAGATTGTTTCGAACACATAAAAGATTTTTTAACGAATAAAGGCATCAACTACCCCGAATTGTGCGATGATATGTGGCTACAAAAATTGTATTTTGCTGTAGATTTGACTTCATCTCTAAATCACTTAAATAAAAAGCTTCAAGGTAAGGGAAATACTGCACATACACTACTGGAAACTGTTCTTTCTTTCGAACAACAACTTCAGCTTTTTTCAGAAGATATTGAGAGCGGAAATCTTGATCATTTTGAATCTTTGAAAGAGTACACGGAAAGCTCAGGTTGTATTATTGATTTGGAGTATTTTAAATTGGCCATTCAATCCATGAAAAATTCGTTTAGTAGACGTTTTGAAGATTTTCGAAAATATAAATCTACGTTGAAGTTCTTGACATCACCACTCATAGCGGATACTGGACAAATTAATTTTCCATCGTTTCCATCTGTCGACAAAAGACTATTTTCATTGCAATTAATAGAACTAAAAACCAAAGATCTTTGGTCTACAAAATTTGAGAATTTGAAAACGGATATTGAAAATCTGGAAAGGGAAAAAGGATTTTTAGCTGCGAACCATAAATGGACGGAACTCGCTAAATGTCAAAAAGAAGAGCAAGTTATATTTGACGTATGGAATAGTCTTCCCGAAAGTTTCAGCCAATTAAAAATGGTCGCTTTCGGAATTTTCACCATTTTTGGATCTACTTACATTTGTGAGCAAACATTTTCAAACATGAACTTTATTAAGAATAAATTAAGAAATCAACTGAATGATATCAGCCTTGATGCTTGTTTGAAGTTGAAAACTACAGACTACTTTCCAGAATTGAATAAGCTGTCTGGAGAAATTCAGTGTCAAAAATCCCACTAATATTAAATAGATACGTTGTTTTGTGTTTTATTGTGTTTAATTAAATAATATTATATTTGTATAAACAATAATAATAATAATAATAATAATGAATTAATGAAAAAAAGTTTTTCTGTATTTTCTAAATTTAAGACGTATTATGTATTATGTTTTTATTTTATTGCCTACTAAAAAAAAGTTGTTCAAACCTGTGCGGCTCCCTGGATATCATAGTTTTGTATTTTTTTAAAAGAATGGCTCTTTCCTACGAAAAGGTTCCCGACCCCTGTTCTAGAACATAGTAAAAAAGATAACCATATTTTATCTGGTAAATGAGTACATGACTTTTTAGCTTATTATGAAAGCGGAAGCAAAATAGGCATAGATGTAGTTCTAAGTGATCATATGTCACAGATAGTTGAACATAATCGTAAAAGACTCATACCAATAATCAAAACAATTGTATTTTGTGCTCAAAACAATTTGGCTTTACGTGGTCATAGAGAATTAGGATCATTGAGTGAATGTGATGTACGAAAAGAGTGTCTATCCGGTAAACAAGGACTCTTACGTGCCTTATTATCTTTTCGTATCGAGTCCGGCGATAAAGACTTTGAGTCTCATTTCGACACAGGTGCTAAAAATTGTACTATGATTAGCCCTACAATTCAGAATGAGATCATAGAAACAATAGGTGACATCATAAAAGACAAAATTGTTAATAGAATTAAAGCTTCTAAATACTACTCGATATTATGTGATGAAACCACTGATATAAGTACTAAAGAGCAAATGACTATATGCATTCGCTATGTTGATACATCCAGTTCAATTATTAGAGAAGATTTTATTGGTTTTGTGGAAATGGTTTCAACTACTGGAATTTCAATAAAAGAAACACTAAAGAATGAACTGGAAAAAGTTGGCTTATATTTTGATGTACTTAGAGGCCAAGGTTACGACGGGGGATCCAATATGTCTGGTAAATATAATGGGGTTCAAGCACTTATATTAGATGAAGAACCTTTGGCTTTCTATACCCACTGTTTTAGTCATTCTTTAAACCTCTGTCTCTCAAAGGCATGCGAGGTATCATCAATCAAAAATATGAACGGTACAGTTGCTACATTTTTTTCTTATTCAGCGAAACGTATGGATAAATTAAAACATTTTATTGATGCAGGTAATTCTAATAAAAGTGTTAATAATACAAAAAAAACAAAATTGAAAAAACTCTGTGAAACACGATGGGTTGATCGACACGATTCACTTATAACATTTAAAGAACTGTACATGTATATAATTTCTACTCTAGAACATCTTGAGAAATATGATTCAAATCCTGAAACGTCAACCAAAGTATCGTTATATGTGAGTGCTATAACTAAGAGTGATTTTCTTGTCTCTCTGGAAGTAGCTGTTACTTGCTTCTCATACACAATAAAATTAAGTCAAGTACTACAAAGTAAACAGCGGGACCTATCTAAAGCTTTAAATGATGTAATGATAGTTAGAGAAGCTTTAGAAGCCATTCGAGAAGATGCTGATAAATCCTTTAAGGAAATAATGAAAAATGTTACCACAATAGCTTCTGAACTTGAAATTGAAATACGCATGCCTCGAATTTGTGGAAGACAAACTGCCCGAAACATGCAAAAGATGCAGAGGAATATTATAAAATAGTTATATTCATACCATTTCTTGATAATTTAATCTTGCAGTTGCATTCAAGATTTGATAAGAGACTAGAAACAATTATACCAATAGAAAGATTCATACCATCTAATTTGTCACATTATGATGACCAAGCAATTTTAGCTGCTGCTTCTATTTTCGAGGATGACTTTTTAGTTATTATGAATACATGTTTGAAAGCAGAGTTATTCATATGGAGAAATCAATGGCAATTGAGAGAAAAATTACCAGATACTGCTGTAGAAGCTGTTCAACACTGCACAGAGCTTTTTTCCAAATATAAAGAAGATTCTTCAATTATTTGCTACTCTGCCTGTAACATCCGCTACTCCAGAACGTACATTTTCAGTTCTAAAAAGACTGAAAACATTTAAGAGCTACAATGAATGAAGAAAGGTTGAATGATTTGGCCTTAGCTACAATAAACAAAGATGAATTGGAATATGAAAACGTAGAAAAAGAAATCATGACTGCATTTATAAATAAATCTCCTAGGAGGATGAAAGTTGCAGATTGGACATAATATTAAAAATATTTACCTTATGTAATATAAATTTTGTTTGCAATAAATTATTATAACATATATAAAGTTGTTAAATATTTTATTAATTTCAGCCGGATGTATTTAGTATTATATGTGGTCACATAATAAGTATACAAATAATCTCAATTATTTTTTATAATAAAAACAGTACAAATTTAATTTTTTTGTTGCCCCCCCCCCCTTTTAGAAATCCTGGCTGATTTATGTTGAATGCTTCAATGTTTGCCTAGCAGAGAACGAGTTCTCTTTGAGATGGAAGCTAGCTAAGCTGGTACTACTCTAAAAGGGCCACGACAAACCGAGGGACCTTCTGTCGAGCTACCGGCCGATTAGCATTCTCGATGGCCTCGGTAAGGTGCTTGAGCGATTGCTATTAGGTAGACTCAACGAGCACATCGACACCGTCGGTGCGCTGAGTGAATTGCAATTTGGATTCAGACTCTCGAGGTCCACAACAGACGCGATTGATAAGGTCATGAAGGTAGCCAAGGCAGCTGGTAGTGGCCCGGTCCAGAACAGGAACCTCTGTGTACTGATCACTATGGACGTGAAGAATGCATTCAACTCGGCGCCTTGGCGTCTGATAGCTGCTGCCCTTCAACGACACGCGGCCCCCGACTACCTGATGCGGATTTTGAGGTCCTACATGCGAGACAGAGAGTTGTTGTTCGGAGAGGTTTCTTGTCTGCCGGTGATGTGTGGAATCAGGGATCGGTGATAGGTCCAACTTTGTGGAATTAATTTTATGACGGTGTTCTTCGGCTTCCAGTTGAGGGACGACATTCCATAATGTACTTTTGCCACTTTTCATAATGTTCAGGAATGACGATTTTCTATTGTATACTGTTGTAAAGCAGTAGAAAAAAGGTAAAATATGTTGAAAATTCAGAAAAATATACTTCTCAAGTTAAAATTACTTTAAAATTATTATTTTACTATTTTAATTGATAATTTTAAATGTTGGTTGCGCCATAGTGCACTATTTCCATCCAATAGTACACTTTGACTTACTTAAGAATTTAGAGAATAGTGAACCATGTTTTTCCAAAGTGTACTTATTCCATATTTCCTCCAGACGCTGAATAGTATTTATGAAATAAAACCCATTGGTCAAAATTAAGTAACCTTTTTTGAATAATGTATAATGAATGAAAACAGTTGTAAAGTTTTTCTTTTAACATATTATTGCCAATACAAATATTTTACAGTTTTTGGATAGTATGGTACCGAATAACTAATAAATAATAACCTTTAAAATAAAACAAACTTTTTATTTTTTACAATATTCCTAGTGAATCAGAATCTATGAATTCATTAAATAACGGTAAGAGGAAAAATTACTAAAATAAAACAAATAAAATGATTTAGCAATATTAGATATTATCTTAATCTGTTTAAAATAAAATAAAATCAATACATTAAACATGTTAAAAATAAAAAACAATTTAGCCTCGTTAATTACAGTAATATAGTATAAAATATAGCAAATAAAATAAAATTAATAAACAACATCAAATAAGTATTACCTATACCTATTTAAAAATTTAAAATACTAAATACGGGTTAAGGTATTTTAACAAAATAAAATTAATATAATTAAAATGTAACAAAAATAAAATACATTTTGGCTCATTTATAATAATAAAATAATAAATGTAAAATATTATTAACAACTAGATATTACCTATACCTATTTAAAATGTTGATTAATGTTTTTTTTAAATGATACAATGATTAGTCAGTCTTGATCTTCATTATATTCATCTAAAATATCTTCAACGTTTGATTCACAACTTTCTTTAAATATATCGGAATAAAATGTTTTGGCATCGTCTGGTATTGTAAAAAATCTTTTAAAATTTTTTATATCTTTTTGTTTTAATACCTTTACATGATTTGTCTTAGGTAATTCTATAAGATGTTGAGTCAATGTAGAGAGAATGTAGAATTTCTTTTTATCACTTCTATCTTGAATGGCAATCCACTATACGTTGTTGAAATTACAACAGTTGGTTGACCTTTAATGTATGTAAATATTTTTTGTTGTGTTGATTTAAAATCAGTCTTAGATTTTACCAATTTCTTTACTGCAGTCTTATAATCATTAAATAAAAAGTCCGTGTTGTATACTTTAACAGAACACAATGTTTCAAATACCTCGTGAAATTGGTTAAGGTATACAATATTCTCTTTTTTCCTCAAAATGTGTTCTATTTGACGAAAACTCTATCTGGTGGCATATAACTATGGCCTCATGCAGGGAAAAAATGATTGATTTTTTAAATATGGTAGCTTTGAAGTTTATATAATGTAGTAAAGTAACCATAGTAAATTGATTTTTATTTTGTCCCGAACTAGAGTCAGAAAATAAATTAAGCGTTGTTGGGGCTGATTCATAAGTCTTAACTTTGGTTGCTAGCCGATCAAGAAAATCAATTGGCAGAACAAACCTCATTAGGTCCACGACCACTTTCAGTTTCAGTCCTAGTATATAAATAATTTTCTCCTGGGCCATGATTTGATTCTGAAATCACAAAAGTTAAGTTGTACAACCATACTTAAAAAAAAAACTTCAGTTACTGATAATTTTGGTAGCGGCTGTGTTTGCATCATATCAAAAAAACATGTAATGGTATCTGACGGTTTTTCTTTTAAGTGCTCAAAAATCTTTTTAGAACTTTGTTTATGCACATTTAGCTCTAACAACAGTTCATTTTTTAAGTTACAGTCTGGTTCAACATTAATTTTTACTTTTTGTTCAGTGCAAAAACTACATACGTCTTGGCACGGATGTCCAAAACTTAAATTAAACTTTTTAAAAAATATTATTTGATATTTACTTAAACTGCAAGTTGTTTTTTTTCAGATATCCTCTTTGTCGTCGAATGTGTCCACATGTACTTGATACTTAGACCGGGTTGCAAATAACATCGACCGGTATCTCTTCTGGTATGATGACTTTTACGACATTTAAAATTTTTTATGTGGTCTACAATAGACTGTGTTATTTCAGTTGCAGTATGGTTGAAACGGTATCCCCCTCTTTTTTCAACTGGACTACTATGGTTGATATTAAACGTTTTGGTAACCAAATCAAGTTTTCGTCTAGTTAAAGATGATATAGAACTAAATGCTTCACCACAAACTTTTACCATATTATCATTTGAAGCTGGTATGAAATAGTTAGTAACTGTCCGATTCATCCTATTAGTTGTTTTTCGGTTTGTACGTTTAGGAGCAGATACATTCATAAATGTAAGAATAAATTTATCTAGACCTATTTTAGTAGGGCAGCTGCATAAATAATTCTTAAATGATGAGAATTCATCACTAGATAAAAGTGAAACATTGCAGACCGTGGCTTTAATTTTGTCTTTGTGAATACACTTTACTGTCCATTAATTTGTTAAATTATTATTAATTCTTTTTTTCTGTTTTTATTTGTTCACTTTATTTCTTTTCCTTCCACCATTAATTTCCGTTATACAATCAATATATTCAGGATCACTATTAAAAGAAGAGTCTGATATAGGATCCATCATTGGAAGAAATTCAACAGTAGTATTGTCAATTAGTTCAGGTTGAATTAATTGTGCATCAGCAGAATCAAGTAAAAACTCATTAGGTTCTGAAAGAACTTCAATCGTCAACCCATTTTCTTGTATGACCCCTTCAAACAGTTTCGTTGGTTCTAAGACATATGGACTAATTTCTACATCCATTTATTCAATATCAAACGGCTCCAAAACAGGTGTAGGACTAGTAGGAACAATCTAGAAAATTAACATACAATGCCATTTTACCTAAAACAAAATTATATGATGTATTTTACTTAAATTAGTAATTTTATTTATATTAGGTATACATAATATATTAACTAAACATAATATAAGTTTATTATTCTGTAATAGTTAATATCATAAACTGTTAGACAAATAATAATATAAAACAACAATAAGAAAAATGCAATACATTATATTATTATGATTCAATAGAATCATTTAATTAAATAATATAAAATAAGTGCTAATTAAAGCAGAGGGATTTTTAATAGTACCTAGGTATATTATGTTCAATACAGTTTATACAAAATTAAAATGTACCTTATATAAGAGGTTCCTTATAAAGTTATAATATAGTATTAAAAAACATAAAATGCATACCAATTGATGGCATTCATTTAAAATTAAATAATTATACATTTAAATTCAGTAGTTATGGATACCTAATACTTACTATAAATTATATCATTTAATTTTAATGTGAGATTACTTATAAATAAATATAATAGGTAGATGTATACTTACTTCATGGTTTAATATAAGTCTTAGTTGTAATGCTAGTCAAATATATTATTATACAATAAAAAAAAATTGTTCATTGAAAATTAATATTAATATAATTATAATTTAATGTCAACAACATATTTTAATGTGTAATGTATATATTACCCACCCTATTCATCAGTAACCTGTTATAAAGTAGGTAATACACTTAAAAAAAATTGAATTCATACACTTTAACAAAAACGTCATGCTTATTATAATAAGTTATGAATACAAAACTGTATTTACTTATATTTAATACATTAAATAGTTTTTTAAGACGTAATATTTATATTATAATTTTATTATAGAATATTAATTATTATACTAAGTACACATTTGATTGTATCTACCTTTTGTAGCCATTGAAGAATATTCTTATCATAATTTGATACATTATTTTCAATAGCAATATCTGGTGGATGGCGGATTGTTAAGTTACTGTCTTCAGTAGTATCCTGTTATAGACGGTATGCACAGGATTGATAGCAGCGCGCCGTAGTAGTGAAAGTATGAACTAATTTCGGGGATCTATTTACTATTATGCATCTATCATCTATTATGATCTATTATCTATTATATTTTTATATTATATTATTAATTATTATTCTAATGTTCCTGGTTGTTCTGACTTGTGTAGATAGTTGTCGTCTATTTAGCAAGTTTGTCTACTATATTTTTTATTTTTATCCATATTAATTAAAATAAATCAATATGACTGATTTAACTTTGAGCCACGGATTTCAGTCAATTTCGTACAATGTTGAATTCACAAATAATAAAGGGAAGAAATTGTATGACAGCAATCATGTAAAAAATGTAGTAGAGATAAAATGCAGCAATGGATGTTCTTATATTAAAGGCTCAGTTATAAGACAAACATCAGTTACTTTAGAACCATGGAAAGTAACTCTTGAAGTAAATAATTTATATTTATATATTTCATTTTTCCTTCATACATTTTTAAGAAAATTTAATTTTTTACTATAATATAATTATGTCAAATATTAAAATAAATAAAACACTCTATAACATCGGTTCCCAAACAAAAACTGTGTTGTAGATAGTATTTAATATGTAGGTCTATTCCAAATTGAAATATTTAAAAACGTTTCAACTACCTGATTATTATCTAAGTACTTTACTAGTTAAATGTTATTTATAAACAGATTGATGAAACCAGGTTGGTATTTTGTGCTTCTTGTGGTTGTCCTGCTGGCGCGGGTGCTAAATGTAAGCACATTGCTGCTGTAATTTGGTACATAAACAATGAAGATGGAACATCAAAAACAAGTTTACCACAAGAGTGGGGTACACCTACAAATTCTGCTCAAAACAAATATAAGAAGGGTAAAAGAATAGAAGATTTGTTTCCAAGAAAAAAATTAAAAGCAAACACTATAGTAACTACTCCTGTCTGTCACTCAACTCTTGTTGATAGTTATGATATTTTTGATATACCCTGTAGTTTTAGCAATATGTTGAAAGTTACATCACTTAGTGAAGTTGAAAGGGAATGTAAACTATGTTTAAATGATATTCTAGACAGTTTAGAAAATCAGTTTTTAATTAGCTCCTATAAAAAACATTTCTCCTTAATTTTATTTTATCAAAAATATAATGATATTAATTTGTTTTTAGCTTCTATGTTTCCCTTAAAAATGAATGAACATATTTTTTATAATAGGTATATAAAAGTTAATCAAAATGCATGTTTTAACATTTTTATTGAAACATTAAATCAGTCTGACAGTGATCTTTGGTTTGAAAATAGAAAAAACCGTATATCTGCTAGCACCAAGGCACATAAAATTAGAGTTTGCAGGAATTTAACTTCTGTTGGGCAATTACATTTAGTTAATACTTTTCTTAAAGAAACAAATTTAGGGAAAAAAGGTTCTATAAATGTTACTTATGGGAAAAATACTGAAGGAGTTGCAATTGATGCTTATAAGCAAATGTTTGACAAAGAAGTTATTAAAAGTGGATTAGTTATTTGTCAATTTATTCCTTGGTTATGTGCTAGTCCAGATGGATTAGTTTTAAAAAACGGTAAAATTGATGCAGTTCTTGAGATAAAATGCCCAATTTCTTGCCGAAGCAAACCCATAGTAGAAAATGGAATTCCAAATTTAAAATATTTATTAGTTGAAAATGGGATACTCAAGTTAAAAAAATCATCAATGTATTTTACACAATGTCAAATATTAATGTACTGTACTGGTTTATTAACATGTGAATTTTTTATTTATAATAATATTGAACCAGTGGCATTGACTATACAAAGAGATGAATTATTTTTAACAAATACTGTAAAAAAAATAGAAACATTTTTTTTTAATTATTACTTGCCAGAATTAGCTTCCAGGCAATTGTTTTAATGTGCAATACTAATTGATAATTTTTATAAATAAACATGTAATGCATATTTGTGAAATAAAGTTTATTTTATAAATCAATGTTAGTTTATAATAATTTTAATATTTTTTTATATAATATTTATTATATTTATATAAAGTTTATATAAATATAAAATTACATTTTTAGGCATAATAATTATTAATATACAGTATACAGTGTTAATACAGTTTATAAGTATTAATTAGGTAGGTACACAAATCATAACTTATTTTTAACTATTAAACAAAAAAAAATACACCTTAAGACTTAATTATAGGTAATTGCAGATTGGTTAAAACGCAACATATATGTACAATATCATCAACATGGGGAAGAAGGTTAATTTTTAATTTATTAAGGATACCATACATTTTCATTCGTGCAAAGACCCTTTCAATGTGTATACGAACACTAGCTATACTATATGTTTCCAGTATTTCTGTCTCGGAAAAACGGCCATTATGCAATATTGGTGGCATAATTAAAATACTGTTACTATTTTCAATTTCAGTTTGTATGCCAGGAAACCCTTTGTCAGCAAGTACCTGATCACCGGGTTCTAATTTTTTTAAAAATCCTGAATCGTTTGTAATATATGAGTCACTTGACCTACCACCATAACATTTTGAAACAAAACAAATCATTCCATTTGGGTTGATTGCCACAAGAAATTTTATTGTATAACTACTTTTATATCTTGAATATAAATAAACCCGTTGTTCTACAGTATTTGGTTGCTCGACCTTAACTTCAGTACAATCAATAATACATCTGCAATCTGGATAATTTATTTTAAAAGCTTCAGGTAAACATTGTTTTACTGAATATTTATCGGGCCAAAAAATAAAGTCTTTAGTCTTTGAACTTAAAAAATGAAGACATTCAGTAAATATTCTTGAAACTGTAGAAGGATTGATTCTAAATAACACACTGATTGCTGAATAGGTACTAACATCACATTTAGTGTTTAAATTAGAATGTTGGTCTACATTAATATCAGTAATATCAACATCAAATGTGTTGATGGTAGAATCATTCATAGCTTTACTATTTCTTAATTCTGACCGATTTCTAGAACGGTTGTATCTATTAATTTGTTGATCAGTATTGGGTTTAGGTTTATTGTACATTTTTGGAAAAATAGATGGAATATAAGATGGACTTTGTGGATCTTTAGATCGTATGTTTCCTACAAAATGATCTGAACATATCAAACTTCGAGTAGTCGGCATCCATAATTTTCCATTTTCCCTGTTAAATTAAGAATAATTTTAATGAATAGATTTGTGAGTAGATACCCACATACACAACACATATTTGTCATTTCTCATCATTCAAATTTAATTTTAGATTTTATACAAACATTAGACATTGTATAAATCTTAAATTATAAATAATATAAATTATTATCTATACCTAGTTGCTTAAATAGATTATATTTTTGTACCTACTTAAGAATGAGTGTGTGAGTTATGACAATTGTATTTTGTTTAATGAGTTATTATCTTATTATCTTATTATCTAAAAATTTGGTAACTTACTCTAAACGGTTTACAGCTCTAATCCATTTTTTTTTCAATTCCTGTTCATACTGTCTATTGGGAAATGAAAAGAATTTGAGGTGTTTTGAAGTTTTTGTATGTGTTGGAACAGTTCACTACACAGCACATGTTTTTTGATTTTGACTGAGCCATTTTAATTATTATAATTGAAAATTGAAATAAAATAAAACAAATTGTAAATAAATTTCACTGAATTCATGTGTGTTATACTACAATATGCTACTATGGTTTATGTACAATGTACTTGAAGTGTGACCCGATAAAAGTTCACTCATAGTCCGCTAGGAGCGCTTTACCCATCCTGCATGACGTCTATAACATTTGAAATTTCAACGAAATGTTATTCATACACACACACAAAATGTCATTTAATACTATAATAATGAGTTATGAATACAAAACTGCATAATGTTTATACCTAACACATTAAATGTAATAGTTTTATGAGACTTTATAATTTATAGCTATATTAGTATTAGGTATAAACATATTATTATTGTTAAAGCATAAATTTAGGTACATACCAACTACTACAAATAATGAATAATAAACATCTTACCATTACTCTTGCATTTTTCATTAAATTTCTTATGCGGCCGTTCAGTCATCTTTACGTTTAAGATAAATGTGTTTATAAGGAAATGGCATGCAAAAATATTTGTTTTTAGCCTCAAAAGCAAAATAAAATTTAAACTATTATCTATCACGTATTCACTAATGATAACAGGCAAGTTTTGGAGCGAATTTCATAGTATAATGATGAAGTTAGAAACGTTCTATTTTGTTTTACCTTTTAGGTTATTATAATCACTATATGAAAATGTAAATCCGCACAGCTATAGTATTAACATATTAACATGAATTTAGAATAAATATTAACTTAAAATTTAAATAAGGAATAATTTTTTCATTTGTAACACATGGCAATAGTGCATTTTGAATATGACCGATATACTAAATTTCTATTTTATCTTGAGCAATAGTACGTTATGACGTAATCTGGATATTGTACATTTTGAAAAAAATCATGGAAATAGTTCTTTTTGAAATATTTCTATGGTCTGATTTTTAAATTACTATGGGAAATAGAACATTTTGGCCAAATTGATAGATTCAGTAAAGATAGTACATTCTGATAAATTCTCGCCATCGACAGTAGTGCATTTTGACGCAATCTTAATAATTATAATCAATTTATTGATTGGAAATAGTACACATAGGCATAATTTGATGGTTTAATCGATTCCCCGTCATTTAAACTATATGTTTTGATGGGTAACTCATATTTTCAATTTTTGGCAATAGTACGCTTTGAAATGTCACCCTTCGGTTGGTAGCTACGTTGGTAGCCTTTGTAGACTACTTGGCGGTGGTAGCTGTGGCCCACAATTCCGAACTTATTGAATAGTTGGTGCAATCTACACTCGATGACATTGTGGAGTGGATGGCGGAAAATGGTCTCTGTCTTGCTCCCGAGAAGACAGAATGCGTGGTGCTGACAAAGAAACACGCATATCGTGATCCCGTTGTGTACATCCAGGGCTGCCCGATACCAGTCCAGGGGCACAAGCAGAATTTTTTTTTTTGGGGGGGGGGGCTAAATTCAAAAAAATTTAATATTAATAGGTAGTATTTATTTTGAAATAGGTGTGCACAGAAATCTTAAAGCTTGTTTGCAATGTTATAAAGTTGAGACGCCTTGGTCCTTTTTTCCCCATTACTGAGAGTACTTCTGAAGTTTGAACATTGATTTCTTTGTGAATATGAAGCATAGCTAATCCATTTAGTCGATTCTGACTCATTGTATTTCTCAAGTATGTTTTTATTCTTCTCAAAGTGGAAAATATCTTTCTGTTGTACTAGTCGAAACAGGCAATGTTGAGAATATTTTTAAAAGTATAAATATAGTTTCAAATATAGTATCATTACACAAATTTAATGCATCGATTGCATTATGTGGTAATGAATGATTTGGGCATTGGAATTGTTGATACCATAAATCAAATTCGGCTACTGCAGCGTTAACACCATTATCTGGCACATCGTCTTTATAAAATTCTAAAAGTTTTAAATACTGAGATTTTTCTGTTTGATTAGGAGAATTTCCAGTTGGTAAAAGACACTTAAAACTTGTAATAATACATTTATGCTTTAAAAATCGGTCGGATATATTGTTTATAAAAGAATCTAGCCATGGAATAAAAATGGCACGTCTATAATATTCTTCTTCATTTTCTGCTGGTACATTGCATCGTTTGGTTTGATTTTTTGTTAATCTGGGCATAGTAATTGTTAGTTCTAAAGCATTAGCAATTTCGTTTGCTTCTTCAAAAATAATTTTAAATTCATTTTCAACATTAGTTCGTATCTCGCGATGAACGAATACTACACCGTCTACGTTATTCAAAGCCTCTGAAATATCTAAATCACTATATTGAAGAATTTTACTGATTGGTAAAGTATAACTTAACAGTTTCTCTGCACACAATAATGAAATAATAAAACTTGATTTCCACTTAACAGTAAGAACGCATTAGACGATGTGTCTTTACAGCTCCATGACTGTATTTCTTCTAAAGCTGCAACTACGGGCAACAACATTTGTTTCATTATAATAACCGAATCATGACGTTCAACCCATCTGGTTGGACAAAGTAAAGCAACTTTCGTCTTATTTGAATTATGAGTTGATATTTCGATATTATTTTGAAGGACATTTTGCCGTTTCGGGGTATTAAAAAATGTATATATTTTTTAGAGAATGCCAAAAGCATTTCTAATTGGAACTACTTCAGCTGCATTTGATAAAGCTAAGTTTAAACTATGCGAAACGCAATGTACGTATATTGCTGTTGGGTATTTATTTGAAATAAACGCCTGCACGCCTTTAAATTGGTCGCTCATAGAAGAAGCACCATCATAGCCTTATCCGCGTAAAAAGTTTAAATCAATTCCAACATTGTTTAATGTTTCTAAAAGAACATCTGCCAAGTTTTGACCGGTTGTAGATTGAACGGGAACAAATTTCAAAAATTGTTCAACAATTTTGTTCTCATTATTGTTTATTAATTCAACAAATCGCACACATAAAAAAAATTGTTCTACGGTTGATACGTCTGTAGTTTCATCAGCCAAGACAGAAAAAAATTTAGCTTTATTAATTTTTAGTAACTAATTTTTGAATAATTATTTCATCGCACGCTTCAATATGTTTTCTTAAATTTTCATCACCTGATTCTATTCTAGCCCTTAATATAGCACGAAAATTCCCCTCATTTTTATTTGGCTCTATTTTTGTATCAAAAACTCCATAATCTCCATGCGATCTTAAAGACAAATTTTGACGTTCACATAAAATTACTGTTTTTAAAATTGGTTTAAATTTCTCCGAATTCTCTAAGGCTTGTTTTTGTAAATCTTTATCAATTTGTTTGTGGATTGGCAACAATTTTCCACCCATAATATCAATAAAACTATCATATTTTGAAGTAGCATCTTTATGATAATTTAAAAGTAAATGTTTTTCAAATCGTTCTAAAGCATTTTTCCAATTATTGTATCCTGTTTTAACTAATTGATTAAGCGCTTGCGAAGAACAGTGACCAGCATTTGAAGGGGTAAATAAAACACACGTCTTACAATTGACACTATTTTCCAAATTCGAATACGCCAACCATTTATATTTTATCAACCAAAATCGGTTGAATTTTCTATTTTGAAAACCTATTTGTTGAGTTTTAAAAGTATAACTATTATCGGGAACCCACATATTTTTAATAACATCAATTTTTTCGTGATCACTCATTTTTTTGTTTACATATAAAGATATATCATATTTTAGTACTATGTTATTACCGTCATTTAGTTGAACATTACATTCATTTGATGTAGCTGCAGCATCATTATTTATCGACGAATTGTTTATAGCAACTGATTGTTTTTGGACTTCTGCAGGTGTGGTGTGTGACCCAACTTTAAAATAATTTAATAATGATCCAAAATGATTACGTTTCATTGTATTTAAATTTTAAATCCACTTATTTGAATAAACAAAAACAATTAACAATTAAAAACGAACAAATAAATAAATAAGCTCGCGAAAAACCAACGATGTCGACTTGAACAGTTGAACGACAATACTAGTTAATCTACTAAATAAGTAATAAAATGAAAGTGGAATTTGTCGCAGATACCTGCGGTTTGAGATAAACTAAATTGTATCGATAAAAATGTATAATCTAGACGTTTCCGGTATCCTACACAGTACACAGTTTGAACTAACGACGTCACGACGATAATAATAAACAACAGAGGTTTCCCCCGGGGCCCGGAATGATAGGTATAAATATAATTTAATATTATGTTATACCTAATGTTTAAATTTCGATAGTTGATATTTTTTTTTATAATAATTTAAAGTCAAATGTCAATTGTCAATAAACCTAATAAAATATGTTTTGGGGCTAGCCATTTGGGAGGGGGGCAAAGCCCGTTAGCCACCCCCTTGGGTGTCCAAATCGATATAAGACTATCCTTCGGGTCTCACGCGACAACAGTGGCGGCTGGTACGAGGAAAGCAGCTTCAACGCTCGGCGGGCTGATGCCCAACGTTGGTGGACCAATCTGTGACCAGATCGAGAGACCCCTGGGGCACCCCATATAAGCTAGTCATTGGCAAATTAAAGAGGCACCAGCCTCTACCAGGCCTGGATTCTGCCGACACGTTAAAAAAACATAAGGCACTTCCCAGACCCTCTTCTTCTCAACCAAAATTTTGATTTAAAACAAAAACTAAATCTCTAAAAATGAAGGAATTGAGATTGCAGACCGATGCAAACTGGCTACAAACAAATGGTAAAAATAAAATATTCAAAATTCAAAATTAGTCTGGCTAGGGAAATGGGCCTACCTACTTCTCTCGTGGAACGGAGTATACATAAGATACAAATTATAAATAAAAAACCATTATACTATAAATGTAGTGCAAATGTAAATAAATTAAATAATTTTTTTGAAATATCGATTATAACTTAAGTATAATTTCATTAGGAGGTTGTTGTGTTACAGCCTGTATATAAATACATATATTATGACTAAAATAAACATTAAATATAAAATTGAAAATGTGTGTAAACTGTAAGTATAAATAAATATAATTTTGGTTGTCTTTGATTAGTTTTTTTTACAAAACACTTAAATAAACAAAACGACGATGGCTCATAAAAAAGTTTATTAAAAATAATGTACATGTTTGAAGTAGGTATACAAATACAAGTTTAGATCAAAAGGAGGAACTACAATTTGTCATTATTTATGTAAAAATAAAGCACTAAATAAGACAAGAAAAAAAGACATTTGATTAAGAGATCTTTAACATAAGATTAATAGTTATTACATATTAAATTAGTACCAAGTGTTATACAAAATTGTATAAACATTAAAAAGTTGTACAGGCATGTGATGTTTTGATTGAAATAGATCACTAAAGCTAAAAGTCTATCTACTTAAGGATAACAGTACATTTTAATAGTTTGTGTACAGAAAGTTCCGAAAAATAAATTTAGTTATTGAAATAATTAAGGCACTTCCAAATTTTAAATTTGATAGATGGCCAATAAAATTAATAAAATAATGCGTAAACTATAGAAAAGGTTAATAAATTATGGGACAAGTTAAGTTATTACAAAAAACATCTTATCATCATAAAATATTTGAGATAAATGAAATATAAAAATCAAATATTGTTTTGTGTTAACTTTAAACAAATGAAAAAATATAAAAATATAAAATAAATTAAACAGTAAATTATAAAAATAAATTATGCATATCATATCATAAAGCAAATATCACTGGTACATATATTAAATACCTTATTCTTTTTTAAATTATTATTTTATTAAAATCTGATTATAATATCAAAGTTTAAAAAAACAAACATTAAATATATATTTTTAATTGTCAAACAGAATATCATTCATGAATAAATATAATATACAATGATTTAGTAAATCATTTTACGTTAAAATTAAAATTAGTTGTTAAGACATGTTAAATGAATGATATTTGTAATTTTAGTTAGTTATTTACAAAAATGTAGAGAATTTTAATTTACATATATCTTACATAATATACAAAAAAATAATTGATGCATTATTGCGATGGTTGCATTTTGATGGCAGTATAATATTAAAAACTAAAAGAGATAAAAAGAAAACTATCTTTATGATAATACAAGTCGTAACTGGAAAATGTATAATACTAATTACATCATATAAAAATTATACATATTAAATTAGATAAAATAATGGCTAGTAAACTGTGTTAAGAATATTTTAATATACATCCAATTCAAATCTTAAAGTATACATTTACAGAACAATGTTTTGTAATATAATACATAAAAATATTCTCTGAGACAGTTGTTATACCACCTGTTGACTAGTATACAGTTTTTATGATTTTGATTTAACTGCCAAAGGCAAAGTACAATTTATATTAATTTAAAAAATCAACTATACTATTAATTAATGCATTGAGACATTTAGTACATATCAACTTGATAAAATGCAGTGTTGTTAAAATAGAGCACAAATAGAAAAACAATTTTAATCTCAAAATAAAATTTGATCATAACATCACTGAAGCATTATTTATATTACATTTTCACTATCAAAAGAGATTTAATACATTTTATTTAAGATTTGTTACATGCTATAAAAAAATGAATGACTGTTGGTAAACAATATTATAAACTTAATTATTATTAATCACAATTTGTATGCAATGTATGAGGGCATATAATTTTAGTCCTTATTAATAAATACTTTGTACTTTTGAAAAAAAATTATAATCAAAATTATGCTTGGTCATTTACATACATTTAATTGAATGAATAGATAATAACATAAATGTATTGCTAATAAACCTAACCTAATCAACAGCCGCTTATAACCGATTTAACAAGTACTGCATAATAATGATTTAAAATTTCATTTTACATAAATAACACACATTTGGTCTGCATATAATGATAAAATATAAAATGACCAATACAAAATAGATGACATAATTTTATTTGTGATGAAGAATATCAAATGTTTAAAAAAAAAATATTTTTTTTTTAAGAATGTTATGTCATGTATGTGGGAAATATGCGTATACGATGGGAAATGTTAAATTAGATTCAACAAATTTGTGCAATATAAATAATAATTTATATTGCAAAACTGATTTTTAATATTTCATGAAATACCTATTAATTGCATGTGACATAATTTATTACACATGATATCCAGAACTAACTTGAAAGATTATATAAACTACATAAATCATAAATGGGAACATATGAAGTTATTGCTAATTTACCAAAATCACTTTTTTCAAATATCACAAAAGAAACAGGACAAATTCATACAAATCCCTTTTTTTTGTACAAACAACAGTCTAAATAAATTTAAAATATACACATAACCCTACAAATGTAATCTGGTGGTTTAAAATAGTCATTCTGAACATCAGAGATCAGTCTTTATGATATACTGCATTTAATACTTAAAAGTTAAAATTAAATCTAATTAATATGTTTGTTTTAAAATGTTATTTCTTTTAAAGTTAACAGAAATAAATAAAAACAAAAATATTGTGCCTAACATTGGAATTCGGATGCAGTAATTGCACTCAGATCTTTCATTAGACCTTCCAAGTTTGCCATCTCTTGATTGAGTTCTTCAGTGCTATAGGAAGTCTGTAAACAAAATGTTTTGTTTTAGTACACTTATTAGTTAAAATTAAAGGGAACATTGAACTTTGATTTTTAATACATAAATAGTAAAATAAAAAAAAAAGCTCGAGAAAATTGGTCATATTCATAATTGTATTCAATGAAAATTTGAAAATCCAAGTCCAATGCGAGTCTATAAGAAGTTGTGTGCAAAAAAACAATGTTTTTAATTAATTTACAAGGCATAAGAGCAATTTATATAACTGTATGATGTTAGATGAACAAGGGTTTTTTATTTACAAACATCATATTGATGGTTTTGAAAATGAAAAAATATACATATAAACAATGGTAACTAAACATGAAATGAAGTTACTATTAAAACCTATAATTCAATTACTCACAATACACTCAATTTCATTTCAGAAAAAAAACTCCCTTGGCTCACCAGATCCACCGAATTGTTGACTAAATAGCCTAGTTGTTTGAGAACAAAACCTAACCTGCCTTGGAATTTTCTTAGTTGTATCACAAGCTTTGGACCGGGTATGGCATACAAGCTTAATCTTTAAACCATTAAAGTTATTTCCGGCTCCACTTTACATGTTGTCCAAATCATATCTACAAAAACGCTCATTCCTCATTCACCAAGGAGACCCCCTCTAGTCACCCCTTCCTGTATTAATAAATTAAAAAACTTTTCTCCCCAAAGTCAGAGGGTTTCCATATTGGCGGGCCTCCTTCAGCGAGTCATGTCATGTTGCTTATCATATATAAATATAACAAATTGTAAATACACAATTGTCTTGAAATAAAAAAATTAAAACTCAATATTTAATACTATATATGGAGGGACATAACCATTAGACAGTAGAAATATAGTAAACTACACTATAAATATTATGATTCATTAATTAGTTCAGGATAACAATATTAATAATACTAACTATTTACCATATAATTACAAGAATTCAACAACTAGGTTAATCAATAAAGTAAAGCCGTGACAGTAACTTAAATCAGTATGTTATTCCAACTTAAAATTACAAGAATTTATTTTATTTAACTATTCCAATACAATAATTAAAAGAATTTGTCATTACTTGTATTTTACTAAGAGATTCTACTTCAGTTATGGTATCTCTTTGATTTGAACCAGTTAATGGCGACTTCCACGTTTTAGGACCACCAGACACAGATGTACTGGATGGTGAATTATTAATAGCTGAGTAAATATTTTTTTTGTATGGACTAGATGACCCTTGTGGCCTCACTGTTACTATAGATACATATATATATTAGTTAAATATCAATTATTAAAAATAACACGAAAATTATGTTTAGATACCAATGTGCTTTTGTTGAGGAGTAGATGGAGCTGACTGAGGTGGAGGTGCAGGAACACTGAAACTTTTCAATGGATGACCTTGTTGTCTTTTTTCACTTGAATTTAGTAATCCTCTAAAAAATAAAAAATAAATAAATGATAAATGTGTACTTGGGAGGCTACTAAAATAAAAAAGTTCTTCAAAACCTAAACTAATTTTTTTTTACTTTGACTATATTAAATTTGAATAATTTGGTTTTTTCTTTTATTATTATATGTGATGTCTTAAGGCACAAAAGTTTAGCACATTTTGAAACTAACTACTATTTATAGTTAAATTAAAAAATATTATATTTTATACTTATATTATAAAGGTAATCAAACTATATATTAGACATCATATTAATAGTAATATCATTGATTTTAGAATAATATACAGATAAGTCATCTTATTGTAAATATTGGAAGCGGTTAAATTAAATTAGTAGCTTCCAATATTAAGAATAGAATAGATTATCAATTATCTGTATACTATAAAAGTCAATGGTAATTTAATTTTTGTCTACATATTACGTTAACATAGGAATGTTATAAGTGACTTAACAGTAATTTATATTTAATAACGTTTTAGGGTTTAAGTGAAAAATGAACAAACTTTTTAAATATTTGATCACAACTGTTATTACTTATCAGTTACCATATTCACCATCAGTTTAATTAAGCATTGTTTCGACAATATTTGATATAATAACCATACTTGTAAGTTATTTATGAAAAGTTATTGTTAAAGATGAAAAACAAACAATTATTAGTTAATGACATAAATGGTTTCCATATTCATGACTGTAAATTAAAGTAATAATGAAAAGACGCACGTGTGCTGTTGTTGCAGATTTGTAGCTGATGATACTGGTATGGAATCAAATTTATCTGGAACAGTAGTAGCTTGGACAATATAATTATTTTCAGGAGCTCCTATTAAAAATAAATAAATATTATTATAATAAATAATTTGTTTAAAAAATGATTTATGAATGTTTTTACCTGCTGTTAAATCTACAGTTACATGAGCTCTAGCAGTGGTTGCATATTGAGATTTTGGATGAGGTGAACGGGATTCTTGATTAGGTAATGTTGCCATAGCTATAAAAATTGTTTTAAATTATTTTCAAATATTTCTCACCAAGTAATAAATTTAATTTATTGATAATTTAAAAATATCAAATTATTAAACAATTTGAACTTACGATCATTGTAAATAGAATCAAATGAATCAACAGGTAAAACAACAGGTTTGGGTATAAAGCGTTTTTTTAATGTGGAGACTTTTTCATCCGACAATAAAGGTTTCATAATTGTATTACCTTATTATATATAAAATATAAATGAATAAAACTTAACATGCAAATGATACATAAATAAAGCAATATAACTGAACAAATAAAAATAAATTTAATTAAAATATTATATTTTAATTTCACTACATTACTTCTTTACAAGCAATTTTATTTCTGAAGTCATAAATACTTGAGTTTTCAAAAATTAAATAGTTAAGAACAAACAAGTAATGACCGACTAGTTAGATTAGCAGAATTTTTATTTATTTATTATGGTTTGAACTGTAGACACTTACAATTATTATTTATTTACATCCAATAAACAAATATTTTAAGCCCATTAATATTTATTTATTTGAATGTTAAATCTAAATAGTATATAAAAATAAAAATCTATTTTATTTTAATTATATTTTTAAGTTTAAAAAATGTTTGAATCAGTTTCAATTTGAAAATTGAATTTAGTCAAAAAAATTGAGTTTGATACACCCCAAACTTCCTAATGCAGTATAATAGACAAACCAGTTTATTTTAAATAAACATTAAAAAGTTATACATACCAACATAAGACGATACGTAGTTACTTTTTTCTAAAGAATTGGTTGCCTGTGGTACATGATGTATGGTAACACGGGTATCAGGACCATCATAAGTGTTTGAACTTCCTTGACCACATCCAGAACTAGTATCTAATGAACCTTGAGAGGATTTTTCCATCGATTTTAATTCCATTTGATCGTGGTGAATCCACAAATCTGGCGGTTTAATGCTTGGGGACTGAGCTACCCCCTTTGAATTATAACCAGTTGATCCTTTTATATACCTATAGTGAAAATCAAATGTTATCTGTTATTAATTAATAACTGACATTAACTTTTTCTAAATTAACACACTAATCATGGTAAAGGTATCAATGTTAAATAAAATAAAAATAGTAATATGTATTTTGTGTAAGAGTCGTAAACCAACCAAAATTGAATAATTATGACAATAATATAATTTTATTTAGAATTAAAAATATTATAATACAACTCTCCTATATTTTTGTTTTTGTTTTTCATTTGACACTAGATACCACATATGATTTTACATGTCTTTGCTTTGATACATTTAATGTTTTACAATAACGCAAGAATAGCATAGGTATTCAGTTTTATAGTGTGAAATAAGCCCAATGTTGTTACCATGTTATATTAAAATTGTTAGATGAGCCACTGTGGTATCATTAGTATTATTATCGAAATAAAATTTGCCCCCAAAATCATTGGAAATGTATTATTTAGTGCAGTACTATGCAATGAGTAAATACATTTAATGTTAATTTAAGTTTTTAAGGACAATTAACTAGCAAAACAAAAGTATAATGATTTTATGGAACTATTAAATTACCAGTTATATACAAACTAAAAAAAAATTGTATTTTTAAAATATTTTGACAGTTTTAAATACAGGTTATTTTATAAGATATTTTAGAAAATACTATCAGAAATCTGTGGTTTAATCCATTTAAATATATGATTTAAGTATTAGTTAGCTACAATTATTTTTAGAAGATTGCTAAAATGAACAATAATGGTTTGTTGTTTAAAACGAGTGGTATGTTATATCCAATTGAAATATTTCAAATGTAAAAATATAAATGATATTGTGATTTTTTTATTTTTTTTTCATTTATAAAAATATTACATAGTTTGTGATTTAAAATGTGAAGCTTGTTGTCTAATAATATCAGGAGTATAATCGTATATAAATTATATAGCTTTAATAACCCTTAAATTACTTTTAATTTCAAAACCTGACTTAAAAATAATTTTTACTATATAAAAGAATTATGAGTGGATTATCCAAGTATATTGAATTTTGTATTATTTAATCTAAAAATATTTTTTTAAATGAAACATAAAATGTATTGTAGTTAATTAAAACCGATATTTAATTAAATATAGGGTAAACTTTATTTTGTATATGATCTCCATAACATCTAGGAAATTAACATCTTAGGAAATAGTGTTAGTTTGTTGATTATCTTAAGTGTAGTTGAAAAATATTTAGCATCAATTGAGTCATTTCGCATTGTGGCCTATGCCATCATACAGTTAAGAGAACTTAACATTGGAATTTGTTGCTTCTGCCTTATAAGTGTGTAGCATACCAAATTTACGCTCATCAGATCAGGTGGAGCTTTGTTAATTTAAAATTAATCTTCTTATTATGAAACTTGATGGTAAGAACATAGCAAGTTTTGGATAAAGCTTATATAGCATAAATTACAAATTCTCATAACTCACTTAAAAACCGAGTTATAGTAAAAAAAACTCACATGCAAACACAGATAATGTTCTTACCATCAAATTTCATAAGAGGTCAATTCAATACATGGAGATCATATACAAAATAAAGTTTACCATTATGGTAATTACATTGTTTTGGGTGAACAAACAATCTTATAAATGCTATAAAACGGTTAATATTAATTACAATTACATTTTCATATATATTTAAAGAACTAATTACAAAAAAAAAATTACCCTTTTTTACTTCGATTTCTTAATGGTTTATTTTGTTTACAACACAATAAAGCAATTCCAATTCCAATACATGATATAAGTAACAAACAACATGCAATCAGTATGTATAAAATGGTTGTGTTGTTTATACCACTTTTTCCATCTGTGCAATTGAGATTAAACAAAAATAAAATTGTATAAATAATAAAGGAGAATATAAATTTATTTAAAAAAAAATGTTTATACCTTTTAGAGATGTTCCATCATTGTAAGTACTGCCACCTAAAAATATTTTAAAAATAAATATTAACAAGTAAACTTGACCATGCAGAGTACAGAATATTCAAACTACTTTAGTAGGTACCTGGCAATGTTTTGATACTAATAGTAGTACTAAATGGACCATAACCAATAGAATTTTTAGCTTGAATTTTGAAAAAATAATTTGTACTAGGTGTCAGTCCTTTGATCGAGTAAGACATAAGTTCTCCTTCCACTATTTCAGTAATCCACTCATTGTCTGAACTTGTATCATCAGTTGTATACAAAATCATATATGCTATATCACAAAATGATTTAATAGTCATTGCAATTTTTTGTTTTAAGTTACTTACCAATAATTTGTCCATTTGAAAATTTTGGTGGTTGCCAATTTAATGTAATAGATTGAGGCTTATCATCATTTTTAACAGCAGTTAAATCTCTTGGGGGTGATGCTGGTTTTGCTTCTTGAGTATTATTCATAACGAGTAAACTCCATGCGCTTTCAAATTGGCCCTAGTCATACAAATTATTTTATTTTAAATAAATGTAGAAGTGTATTCATTGTTTTGTGTATGTAGACTGATCTCAGTTGCAACTTCTCCCACCACCACCATCTCTAACAACATCATTGTTACCTCCACCTTAATACCACACAACCTTTGACAAAAGGTACAGAGCAGATGTGACAATGTTCCAAAAGATGTTGCAAGGTATGCATTGCTGGCAGGATCGTGCACTTACGAAATAAGTTTTAGTCGACACACCCTCGATAATCTCTCTTGTAAACGTATACCAACAACTGAATATTAAAAACTTACCTTTATCAATTTTACAGTAAACTCATACTGAGTATTAGGTTTTAGTTCATTAATAATGCAAGAAAGTTCAGTGGTGTTTACATAATTGTAACGAGCTTTATTAGTTGAATAGGACGATTTGTATCGTACAACATAAAGACGTACGTCTTCAACATTCGACTGCAATTAAAATTAATATTAAAATATGATTAACTGGTCTGTTTTTAAAAAATATATATATTAGTGTATTACATCAAAATCATCTAAAAGAGAATTATCAGTCCATGATACTTCTATGGCGTTAGGGGATATAACGTTAGTTTTTAAACCAATTGGTGGTAATATTGGATTTGATGATTCCTCCAATGTGTTTACAATAGTAGGTTCTTTTATAGTTGTTACTAGGTATGCTAATGGTCCAAAACCCATATCATTAACTGCAGCTAAACTCAGTACATATTCAGCATTTTGCTCTAAAAATGATGATACATATAAAATAATTTTTAATAAAAATAATTGTATAAATTAATATTTACCTAAATTTTTAATTTCATATTGCCGTATTTTTGGATTTAATTTTTCCTTATATACATCAGGAACACCTTTTCCCCAAGCTAATGTATACTCTCTCACAATAATACTTTTATCCTTTGGCGGAGACCAGGTTACCAATAGTGAATTTGAAAAAGATCGAACTATTTTAAAATAAAACAATTAGGAAAATAAATAAAAATTATAAAATTAAAACTAACCTTTGAAATTAGTCGGTGCATCAGGGACAGTATCTTCCCGAAGATTTTTATCAAATGTTAAAACTGTAAACCACTCTGAAGGTGGACTACTACCAACAGTGTTTAAAGTCCATAAACGAACTTGATAAGTCTGAAATGATTAATAAAATATATTTAATGTAAATTAGTTTAAAGAACAACAAACATAAATAAATATCAAAAGTATAGAATAAAATGATATAAAGATAAGATGACAATGAAATGTTTATATTTTAGATATTTTTTTTTACAAGATTTAAACATTGGTTTTTATTCATTTTACATATGAATTAATTTTAAATAAATACAAGTTCCCCTACATTACAAACACATACATTTTTAGTATTTAATTATACATATTATGTATAGAATATTGTATATACTCAACTTTTTAAGTTATAATTACTAATAATCATGAACTAAAAATGATTCCTTAAATGATTTTTTGAGTAAACTATGTTACTAGCCATAGATTTTATTTAAAGTTTGTGATTATAAATTCATAAAAATGTATGCTATGTTCTTACATGAGAAATATAAGAGAAAAATACTAAAAGAACAAAAGTAATTTAAAAAACATTTTACTCACTGAACTTTTGTCTAAACCGGAAATTTGATATTCTAAATTATCACCAGCTGTCGTGATGGTGTCACCAGATGATTTTCTATCCGGTTTCTTGTATCGAATTTTATAACCTGTTATAACTCCATTTTGGCTGGATTTTGGTGGATGTTCCCATCTAATGTTAATCTCCTAAATTTAAAAAAAAATATACATTTACAACAATCAATTATTTTATTTAAGAATATTTTATTGCATACCGTTGAAGAGATTGCTTCAACAACAATATTTTGTGGCGGTTGAGATGGAGCTGAAGGTTTTGTTAAAACAACCACTTCTAGAGAATTCATCCCGGGACCATTTTGATTGTATGCTACTACCCAAATTTTATACTTGGTATATGGATTTAAGTCACTTATTTCATGGTCTGTATGTTTTGTTATGATAAATTGTTCTTCAGAAGTTGAATCCTAGTAAATTTAAAAAAAATCATAAATACAGATTTTTTATTTAGTTAATTATTATTTATTTGTCACCTACCTTCATATAAAATAATTTGTACTCTTTCAAATTCTCACTGCCGTGTTCTGGTCTAGACCAAGAGACAACTATTGATGTAGGTGTAACTGCTCTAGCAGTTACATTGAAGGGTTGTCCAGGTAAATTAATTTCTGCCTTGGTCATTACTTTCAAACGTGGCGAACTTTCGCCTATACCATATTTATTTTGTGCTATAACTCTAAAGAGATAATGCTTATCGGGTATTAATTCGCTAATAGTTATATCAGTTTGTGTTGTGTTTGTCATACGTTCTCTGCAACATTTACGTTAAACCGATTAAAAATAATTATAAAAATAGTTATACAAATATTTACCTGTCTGATCCTTCTTGTTGATAAAATATTGTATAAGTTAATATCTCGCCATTAGGTTTAAGTGGATTAATCCAAGTTAAAGTGGCTAACCTAGATGATACAAGACTGGCTTCTAATGCTCTCGGGGCTGATGGCAGATTGTTTTTTAAATCCTTGGGTTTTTCAGCTGCAGAGAATGAGTTGACGAAATCAATACTAATATTTGTAGAACTGTTTGAACTAGGTAAATTGTCTGTTTACAAAAGCAAAAACATAACAAAACGCAAAACAAAAATAAATAAATGACTACAAAACAAAACAAAGCAAAAGTAATAAATAATCATATAAATAAATAATAAAGTGAATGATCTTAAAAAAATTATAAACAGTTATCTTAAGTTTATTTTAGTTTTTACATTATTATTATTCAAGAACAATTAAGTTTTTGTTTAGATTTTTTTATTTAAATAAAATCTAAACATTGGTAACAATTATTATAAACATTTTAACTACTATAAATAATCTAGAAAATCTGTCCAGCCATTAATAGTCATATTACACTGATGAGATTAATTTTTTTATGTCAACTGCCAACTTCAGAATGTGTAACTCATATAAAAAAAGAAATATAATATACGCAAAACAAAAAATAATAATAATAAGTTGAAACACAAAACCATGGTTTCATATACCATTATATATTTATATAATATATCTGTTGGTTTTATTTAGCAATTAAGTATTGTTGTAGTTAGTATTATATAAATATATTGTTAAGTAAATAAAGCACCGCAAGTATAATCTATTATATTCGGTAGTTAACTATAATATAAACAAATTATTCAAAAAATTAAAAACATTGATATCTACTATTTCATTACACACATTAAAGTTATTTAGTATTTGGTATATAAAATCAATAAGTCTCTAATTCATTAAATCCAAGCATTACTGATATATAAAAAAAAATAGAAAAACAATCAAATTACCTGCATGAAAAACGTTTAAAAATGCTGATGATTGAATATTTCCAGCAGGGTTTGATGCCAAACACTGGAACATGCCAGAATCCATAGTCATCAAGCCAGATATTTTTAAATTAGTCCTGTAAAACATATGTATCAACAATTAATTTAATGTAAATTATTTTTAATGATATATAAACATTTACTATTTTTTCTTTTATTCCATCATGAAATAATAATAATAATGTATTGTACACAGAATTTTAATTTATTTTCATTGCATACCCTGCTGATATTTATTACAATTCAACTAAGGTAATGTTTCTATTGTTAAAAACATATAATTACTCACCCACTAACAAACTGCAAGTATTCATCTTGTTTAATTCTATCACCATTTTTTAGCCAAATGACTCGTGGTGGAGGTTTACCGGCTACTTCGCACTCCAATGTAATATCTTCTTTTTCAAGAACCATTGTATCTTTAGGTTTGCGAATAAATTGTGGTTTAACTATAATTAAAAATAATTGTATATATTAATTGAGCATTCAATAAAATTATTAGATACAATTTAATGAAACTAAATAATATTAAGTAGAGTATTCTACTATTGTTAAGTTATATATAATGTACACAAGTCCAGAACTGTAAATATTGCAATATGTACCTTTGGTACATTACACAGATATTAAATACAAAATAATCTGTACAATATACATGTTATACAATTTTTTATGTGAGAGAAGAATCCTAGTATGCGGTTGACAACATACAATTATTTTGTAAATACTAAATTTATTGTGTTCTATTATATTTAAATTATCACAAAGCTTAATTAAACACAGTTTCTTGTATCTGAACTAGGATAATAGTATAATATAATATAATGTACATTGTATACTTGTACATATATACATAATACAAGTATACATTTTATTACTTTGATGTTAATACAATATTTAATGTGATTGTAAAAATGCAGAATACTAAAAATACTGTAAACACAATATAGCACAATAAAGTCAAAATCAATAAATAAATAATGGGTTATAATTTTCAATATGCAAATAAGTTCTAAAACTAGGCAAGAGTATAATTCCAGATTTTATATGTAAGTCATAAGCAAAGTTTGAATGTGGAAGCCTGTAAGCATTCATCACTTTTTTGTCCAATTATTCCAATTAAAAGCTATATCAACTATAAATTTGATTCATACTATGTAGGATTAATAATCACAATTTTATTTTGCTTAATTAGCAATAGCATTTTTGCTAAATACTTAAAAGCTCAATTTACAATTTTCTATTACTTACATTTTTTATTTTATTAATATAGTTTTTATTCATAATATGGTATATCTACATAGAACTTGAACAATTTGAATGGTTAATGTTTATTTCCATATTATGTTCGAGGGAAAGAGTCAAATTCATTTTATCTTTATTATAGAATTATTATCAGATAATAAACTATAGATAGATTTAAAGAAGATTTATAGAAGGAACACTTTACACATATTTAAAATATTCAGTTATTGTGCATTATTGTGTTCCATAATGTCAGGGGTGTATTTTTCACTTAGATGAAATTTAGATTATTGTTTGATTGAGCTCTAGGAATATATTTTTACATAGGTTAATTTAGTTCATTACATATAGACGACACAGCAATAATAAAACAAAAAAAAAATTCAAGAATCCTAAATAAATTATGGCTGGATTATTACAATCAAGCTGAATTCCATCAAAAGACAAAACATGATTTTTACTCTAAAAAAATGCACAAATCCAACCTTAATTCAAATGAACAACTAAGAAACCAAATGGGACAGTAGGGATAACACAATAAAATATCTAGGATTAAACCTAGATGAAAATGTGTCTTCTTAAAAGCCAAAGGACCAGATAACTAAAACACTGACTTCCTAAAATTGAATAGTGCCTGTCACAACTATAATTACTATAAAAACGTATATTTCTTATAAAAAAAACAATACTTTTTAAGTGTAACGGTTCTTATCTAAAAATAAAACTTGCAGATTTGTAATGTTGTAAAAATACTAAGTGTTAAATTGAATTAAAGAATAAATAAAAAAAAGTGTAGAACGCCTTACATCCCTGCTGAGTCCAACTGTTTCTCTGTTAGTTGGCAGTAAATACTTAAAAATTTTAAAATATAAGTATTTAATATAGATTTATAGAAGTCAAATATTCAAAAGTAAAAGTTCCAAATAACTGTTTTCAAATTATGTTGGAAACATTCAAATTTTTACATTGTATAAAATGAGTTAGAAATCGGAAATTTAACAAGCTCGTAGAGCTTTTTTGATGCTTTACATATCAGAACTCTAGTTTAAAGCAATAATATCTAGTTAACATCTTAATTGATTAAATGTTTTTCAGATTATTCAGCATTACCAAACATATTATTACTTACCATGGACTTCTAATGTAGCAGAAGCATCAGCAGAATCTTCATGGTTCTCTGCACGACAAATATAATTGCCATCGTCATTTTTATTCACTTGTGTTATTTGCAAGCCACCAGTACCAATTATGCTGAACCGGGTATCTAGATGTCTATAATTATAATTTAAAAATGATTAATTTTTTAAAAATATTTCTATTCATAAATTTATCATAATAAATAAATAATTTTTAAATTGAAAGTAACACTTTAAATGTTCAGTTTTTTTAAGTTTTGAATTATATTACTAATTAATTTAAAATTAGGAACTGTAATCATTATTTTATTTTTTGCAGTATAACATTTAATTAATAATTCCAACAAAAACACTTTGTCTAACTCCAAATAAAAAATTGCTAAGTAAAAAAAAAATAGCCATTTTCGAAACATCAGCATTATAAAGATGTGATATCATTAATAAATAAGATTATTTAAGTAATTAAGAGTATTTGAAACGATTTATTATGCTTGGGGGATAGAAAAAGCAATATATTGTTTGAAAATGATTTGTTTTATCATCTATTTTGCTTACAGACACATGAAGAATCATCCGTTTCTTATTTATACATTTTTATTTTTAGTTGTATGTAAAAGCTTTGTTTTCTGCTAGTTGCTACTACAGTCTTAAGTGCACTTTGTCAAGACTTAAGAGGACGTAACACTAGTATTTGTTGTCTCCGTCTTACTTGTGCGTAATATAGCAAAATTACGCTCGGCAAACACTTATAGCTCCTTTAGTTTAAAAATTAGAGTAAATCGACCTATTACAAAACTTGATAGTTAGAACATTATCTGTGTTTGTATGTTAGTTTTTTGCGATAATTCAATTTTTAAGTGAGTTATGACCATTTTTTAATTTACCGTTTATCACATCATATAACTTGCTAAAAAATTGAATTATTGCAAAAAACCAACGTACAAACACAGATGATGTTCTTACCATCAAGTTTCATAATAAGTCGATTCACTCTAATTTTTAAACTAAAGGAGCTACAAGTGTTCTGCCGAGCGTAATTTTGCTATATTACGCATTGGTGAGACGGAGACAACAAATACTAGTGTTACGTTCTCTTAATACATTTCAAAAATGTAATCCATTACTATACAATTGATAAAAACATATAGGAAAATAAAAATAAAAATAAATGTGGTCACTTACGGTATATTTATTATATTATATTATTTAACATTATTTTAAACCTGGTCGACACATTAAAAAAAGTAATTTTACAAATTCATAGGTACTTATAAGAAGTTAACTTCATTGATTTTGTGACAGAAATTAATCTATTTCAATTTGGTAAAACAATTTTCAGAATTAATTTTATAAGTACATGAACCAATTTAAAGTGTATAGCAGAACAGTTTTCAAGCTCAAAAAATAAGGAATCCTGTAGTCTATAGAATATAAAAAATGTATCGATATACTTATACTTACGCCACATCAATTAGAGTACCACCTTTTAACCAAGAAATTTGTGGTCGTGGATTTCCGACAGCTGCACAATCTAGAGTTACAATTGATCCTTCTAAAGCTATTGTGGAATGAGGTTTAGCAACAAATTCTGGAGCTTTTAATCTTTTAATTGCATCTACACAAATTATAAATACAATTAAAATTACAGTTTAAGTTATTTTCAATTCTGAGCAGAGTGAATGATTCGTTTTTAATTGTTGTACCATTGTACAATTTTTCTAAAAGAAATAAAATATCCATTTTTTAATATTTTAGTTGTATTATTCTTGTAGAACTCGCAACATACTTTACTTTTTAGCGCTTTTAAAATTTTAAACACATTTTCAGCTTTGATATTTAGTTCTTATCTGCAACTAACTATATGGTCTTTAGTAGATTAACTATTGAAGATAGAGGTCTGAAACTCTTCATTGGACTTTTTCTAGCCAATTTAATTGTAACAAGACCCTAACTAACCAAATTCGTTTTACGGCATCAGAGATCTGTTGCTGAATAAAATTCCAGCTAAAATTTACTACTTTTCAACGGTTAATTTTATATTTAATTTAAAAGCCATTTTTAATGAGTCATCAACTAACTTTCTAGTAGTTTAGGATAAGATTTTTAGAGCTGTGTTCACAAATGTTTTTCTGAATTCAAATCATTTTATATCTCAGGCATGATATCAAATCTATTTCATTGATATCTTATATAAAAGCTAACTTAATTACCCTATACCCATTTTTACTGAGTTACATTTGTAATATTTTCCTATTTACCAGTAAATCTTGATTTTTTTAAAATTCAGATTTGTTCATTCTAATAATCATACTTACTTGATTTAAAACCAAAAAAGTTAAAATGTTCTGATCATCGACTTTGTAGGTTTCTGACAGAAAATTAATTTAAGAATCCTTTTGTTAAATTTCACAATTTAACAGCTTTTTGATCAAGTGAACATTTTTCTTACACATTTATAGTATAAAAACATCAATTGATGGTCATTTATTTGTAACCAAGATTATCAAACAATTATTTCAATAATTAAATTAAAATGTCATCAAGTTCCTGCCTGATTATTTCAAAAAATTACTATTTTGTCCTCATAAACGTACCAACTAGATCCTATTTGATACCAGAAACCTCCACAAAGTTGAACATCAGAGTATTTTTATAACTGAAAGTAACTTTATGTGCAAAAATAAAAACACAACATTTTAAAATCAATACATCCATCGCTCAGAATCTAATACAAGCATTTGTTAGAATTTTGATATTATTATTAAAATAATTTTTCTTCGCTCATAATTGTTTATCAACATATAAGCACATTACGTTACAATTAATCATTAAATTCAAATTAAACTTCATTAATGTGCTTACTTAATGACAAGATACACTCAACACATACTGTACACCAGAGCGGTTAAATACTTTACCCTCTTAATTCTTTATATAAATGTAGAAATTAAATAGATATTTTTTTTAAATAACCTTCATTTTCAACAATTGTCAACACTCCAGGATCACTTAATCTATGCCTATCCAATCCAGTAACATTACATCTATAGGCACCATTGTCTTCTTTATGGACATCATCAATTTCTAATGCGCCTATATAATATAAAAATTAATATAGTTATATTGTGATATTAAATACTTATCATAATTATAAATGCTATGAAATGAATTATCTTACCTGATGGGAATATTGTCATCCGAGCGTCTATTACTAATGGTGAATGGTCTTTAAACCAAGTTATTTTTGGTAAAGGTTGGGAATTAATGACACAAGAGAAATGTGCTGTTTGTCCAGGAAGAAGTCTTAGATCTGTTGGTTGTTTTTCAAATGGCGATAGACCTGTTGTAATTATTTTTAATAGATAAATGAACATAAAAACTTCATCAAGTAAGACTTACGTGCAAGAGTCACAGTTGCTATACGGCTAACAGCAGAACCAATATTATCAACAAATGCTACACATTGATAAGCTTCTAAACCTTCAGAAATATCTTTTTCGTCGTTATTGAAAACATTTTTAATAAGCAGAGACCCATTTTTCAAAATAGATCTGAAACAGTACAATACGAAGCTAAAATATAAGACCCAAAATTTTTGGTGAAGAAAAAATACAATTTTTAAATTTAATTTAAATCCTAAACTGTGTATTCATTGAACACTATTTTTTTGTTTCCATAGTCAAACATTTTTTTGGGGGAGGGAGTGGAATAGAATATTTTAATTAATTATAATTAAATATCCTGCACAGCATACATGACAACACATAGTACATAGTATACATAGCATACATAGTATATACAATTCTATTTGAGAAAGGTCTATATACATTTCTGAGAAGATAGCAATGTGATTGTAATGTTGGTTAAATTGCTTAAAATTTAAAAATTAATAGCAACAATTTAACCGAAGTTTCTCATTAAATGTTTTTCTTAGTCTTAACAACAACTGTTCTGAAATTGTATGGTATTGTATTGTATTGTATTGTATAGTATTGTATTCACTATAGGAATAATAAAAAAGACAATTGCATGCTAGTTCATATTTTTCCTCTACAAGGAAAATCTATGAATCATAAATATGTTTTTAATAATAAATAACCATGACAACAAACTGACCGTACAAATTATGGATTTCCAGATTAGAAAAAAAAAATTGTATTCATACCAAAAACATTTATGTTAAGCCGAAAGTCAAAAATGAAAGTGCCAAATTATGACAATCTGTCATTGAATGTCTCTAGCGATGTTTTTAAAACCAGCGGTAAAGTAGTGTATTGTATAATTTGTGATCAGTCGGTACCTGATACAAAACAATTTAAAGTATACCTAACACCAAGAAAAATGTCTTTACTTAAATATGCGCCAACTACATCTTGTAACGTTGAATAGAGCTTCAGTCAATACAAAGTCATACTATGATCCAATCGCTGAACATTAATTTTCAAAAATTAAAAAAAATAGTGTTTTATTATTTAGTATTTTTCTGTTTTGTTCAGTTTTTTTTTTTTTGCTATTTTTAATGCTTGTAGTGCATGTTATAGCACACATATTTTAAGATATTTTAGTCAGGTTATAATTCAGTATTTTTTTAGTGCTATAAGATCCAAACCTTGATTATAAATTATAAATGAATTATTTATTGCGTTATTTCACACATTCTCTAATGTTTATTTTTTAATTTAAAGTAGATACTTACAGTTAAAATGTATTCTTTTCTTTAGATTTTAATCCTTAGTCATAATTTCAATATTTAATGAGCATTAAGAAATTACTAATTAGTAAAGTCTGGATTTATATTCATTTACATACTTATAATCAATGTATGCAGTTCAATGGGAGTAAGAAATTTGGACGATTTGAGTAACAGATAATGCATGAAAAAAGTTTATTTTACAAACAAATGGCATATTTTATTTTTAAATACACCTTATCTTTAAGCATTAAAAAAAAAGCCCAATCTCAAACACTCTACAGTATCTCAATTCATTAAAGACAGTTTAAAAATATTAAGGCCTGCAGGGGAAACTGCAGGAACAAAAACCTATGGTTGTTTTTACAGGATGCAGCACCATATATGGTCGAAATAGGAGATTCTAATTCTAAGTTATTCTACCCAAACATCATATAGGTAACACGTGTAGCACATTTGTATATGTTAACAGAGTGGCAGAAAAAGTGAGAGAATTATTCCTTAATGTAAACAAATTGATTAACAATGTTAAGAAATCTATTTTAAAGTCATTTTATCGTATTCCACTACATAAAGAGATACGACCTGGTTTGCAATTGCCACCAGAACCAGTTATTACAAGATGGGATACATGGATAGAAGCAGTTCAATTTGATGCAAATAACTTTGTAGCTATTATTAAAAATGTAATAAAAAACTAGACAATGATTTGTCAGCAAGTGTTAAGAGTTTTAAGAAAATCTTTAATTTGCTTACAGTAAAAATGATTTAGCATTTATAAAAATTAAATTTTCTGCACTCATTCGGTCAATTACAAGATACTATTAGAAGATACTAAATTGACTTTAGTACAATCACTAGAAATAAAGAAAAATATAATTTCAGAACTTTCAAACATAAAAACTAAAATATCTCAGTTGTATCACAAAAATAAAGAATTTAATCCTTGCTCTATGGCCAACGTAAAGTATGGACCACTTACATCAGAAGATGTGGAAGGATTGTTTGTTTTTTATAAACATATACAAAGTGATAGAAGGACAAATATGACGCCTGAACGCCTGGAAAAATATATTATTGTTAACACTTTTTATAAAAAGTAAATAGTAAAAATTATAAATTGTGTCTATTTATCAAAACATTTTTATTGATAACTAAATTTATGATTTAACTTGTTTATTTGTTATTTATAAAATGTCTTTATTTTTGTACTTTTTTTATCATACTTAAATATTTACCCAAGAAATAGTGCAAGAGGATTAAATTTGTTTTTATTATTATTCCTAACTGAAGTTAGGGTAAAGTCAAGTAAATTTTTTAATATTTATTGTTCTTTAATTAACTTTTAAAGTTGATGTCAGTAATCAAAATCTAATTTTGTTGCATTATTATTTATGGCAGAAATTAAAATATGCATGTATTTTAGATGAGAGCATATTTTTGCATATTATTAAAAATAAATAAGAGCATATCAAGTACATATTTGAAAGTTTTTAGATGCATAAATGCATACTACTTTAAGTATTTTAGTTAGAAAGTTAAAATCCGAACCATAATATGATAAAAAAAAATTTATTTGAAAAAAAACAAAATTTTGAATCAAGATAGAAACTTACCTACCTATAACTTACAGAAATAGTAAAGTATTGCTAGAAACACATTTGAGGAACGATTTGTAGTTATAATGAAATTTGTAGTTACATAACAACTTTAAGGTTATAAACAAATAAAAATAATCAATAGGTATTAAAGAAAAAGAGATCAAATTATAAATTTATTGGTATTATAAACTAAAATATATTACTATTCTTCAAAATTTACCTTCTCGTATCTCCGATAAAATCAAAGTATTGCCCATCAGGAATCCTCCATCTAATTTGAGGCAATGTAGCAACACTATCAAAATTTGCTTCACAATCCAATCGTATGGTTTTACCAGCAATTGTTACAATGTCACTAGGTTCAGTTATAAACCTTACACTACCTATTGTTAACACAATTTACATGCAAAATTAGTAATATTTTAGGCAGATAACATAACATAATATTAATAACAACATATTTTAATAATATTGTAATTAAAAGGTGCTTAATAAATATTTAAATAATTATATTTGTTACTAGGTCTCCAATTTAAAAATATAACAATGTTTTCAATCATACCATTTGATTAATACAAGAATTTGAAATTGAACATTCATTTTTAATTGTTAGTTGTTATAACTTTGTTATTTTTTTTTTTAATAAAGGTTCTTAACCAACCTATGAAAAAACACTTTTTTAAAATATTATCTCACTAATTTCATATTATTTATTTTAAAACCTATACAGGTTGCTTAATCTATTTTATTTTTCTGAGAACATTTATTATTGCAGTTATCTATCTTAGAATTGACTGTTAAAATTAAAAAAAAAAAAACAATTATTATTATCATTAAAATTCATTTATCATCATATTATAATATTAATAATTTACAAAGATGATAAAATAGTAGGTAGGAAATAATTGATTAATTGAAATTATTAGGTAAGCATTAGTATTATAACCTGCTTATATTTCTTTTCACGTAGGTTAACCTGTTTATTGACTATCTTGTAATTAACCGTTAGAATTTAAAAAAAAATAAACAATTACTGGTGGAGTCATTATCATTAAAATTTTGGTTACATTTAAAATATTATAATATTAACAATGTACTAAGATTATCAAATAATCAGTAGGTAGTTACTAATTAATTAATTTGAAATTATTAAGTACCAAAGTACTGTACAATGACTTTATTATTTCTTTTTACATAGGTTAAGCTGTTTATTTCCAATATCACTTATTATTAGCATTAAAGTCTCGAATTTCATGTAATATATTTTTTGTGTAAGATTCATTGGAACTAATGAACATTATGTAGTAGTAAAAGTATAATTGTCATAACTTGTTATAAGATTATGTATTTGTGATGTTGGAATTAACCAATTGGCGTTAAAGATGAGATTACAGTTATATTACTAGGAGTACAAAGAGTCGACAAATTCAATCAATTGAACTGTTGTCGGTATTATCATCATATTCAAGTCAGAGTGAAAACATTGCGTTGTAAAGTATGTGGTAGTTTAGAAGATATATAAAGCCTTTGATGTGTCCAGAAGACAACCGATGTACGACTGTGTCATTGGTTTAGTACTCACTTTGTACCGGTGCGATCAGCAGAAAAAGCCGCAGCATCAGACAGTAACCGGACAACAGAAGTTTTAGGCAGACGCCACCGCTCGGGCGCATGTTGCGATGTTGTAACGACAGGACTAGAGACAATGGTCAGAGTACTGCTATCGTGGACGCTTATCCGTCAGTTGAAGTTACAGGTTTCGCGACATGAGTGCCGACTCCGCGAGTGGACGCGCTCGATGGGTCGGGCACCCGTCTCGCCGATCGTGTAGACTACTTGAAAACGCTGTCGTCGTCGAATTCGTTCGTTTAAATGGTCATACACTCAAACCGCTAAAAAATTTTCCCACGGACCGTCGTCGTGAGTTTGTGCGTTTCTGGTCGGATTTGATAATAATAACAAACAATGACTACGATTTCGCGGTGGTGGTAGTCGACGCGATCGTACTGGACGGCGGCGGCGATCGGTCGTAAACACGAGACTCCGGTCGTGATTGGCCGACACTGCCGGTGGTGCGCCCCGCGGCGGTGAGATAACGGTGGTGGCGTCGGCGGCGGCGACGGCGCCACCTGGTCGGACGACGGACTGTCACAACCTCTATGAGCACACGACACACCGCCCGCGCCGCACCCCGACTGAGACATTACTAATAAACCGTCCTCTACGTCGTCGTCAAGCGACGACCAGTTCTTCACTGGTTCTTGGCGTTTTTGCATTACTCGCAGTAGCACTGAACTTTTCAGTTTCTTGTTGTTTTTCATAACTGAGTTGACTTGATTACTGCGTTGCCAGTCTTATTATCTCAACTAACTAAGGGTTTTTCATTTTTATGAACGCATCCTAATGTATTTAAATATTACGAACTTAGGTACAACTTGCTGTAAGAGGCGAGTAGGTATATTAATAATTTAATAAAAATTAATTAAATTATTTAAATAGGTACCTATCTTGAAAATATAATATAAATTCACGCATTAACTTTATTCATTGAATGTATTATTATGCATTTGTACTTTGTAGAGCAATATTGTTTTTGCTATATTATTATGATAACCGATTTGTATGTATCGAATATAATGTTATTTTTAATCTACGTCATAATGAATTACAGCCCACATAGAGCCGACGACGATGACCACGAGTCACCGACGATCATACGTCTCGTCAAACTCAAAGACAGAATGTAAAGACAACATAGTACACTAAACGTGTATATTATTTATAAATGGGTAAATGTTTTCTCTCGTAATGTCAGTCTCTATGAAATATTTATAATTTTTATACTTCGTCAGTTAGCGTTCCGTGATTTTCTGTTAGGAAATATAATATTTTTTATAATATTTTTAACTTATAAAAATATTTTTATCAAATATCCAAAAGAGATTATTTTATTATTTTCGTAAGTTACATTATTTAGTTATCATTTCCTAAGACATTACATATTTAGGCATTTCATTAAAAATTGTTGCTTATTCATAATAAAAAAATAAAGTCTCGTATTTTCGTATTTTTCATCTGACGACCCTACCCATTGGACATTATTTAAAATAAGTTTGATTGAGAGTTTGATTATAAAAGGAGACAATTCATAAACATTGACAGACTCATTATTATTCGGTAGGATACTTTTAAAAAAATGTAACACCCAAAATTGAAAACGCTGTAATAAATTTAAAAAATATTACAATAATATTATTTTTTTTTATCCAAAATTTGTTTTCTTTTATGAATTACTCAAAATAGATTCAAAATATTTGAAAAATGTTATCATGAACCTATAGAAATAGAAAATGATAAAATAAAAGTTTTGTGATAACTTCGAGTATCTATGGTTGTTTGTTTTTTTAATTACCTGACCCCACAGATATATATAATTAACTGGATAGCCACACAAAATCTTACTACACTATATCGAAGTCTGTGGATAGAAAACTGATTATAATTAACGCACTATGATTAGGAAACCGGAAGTCAATGTTTATATTTGTTATCACTTTATCAATTCGAATTTACTATCATATTGTTGTTGTTGTATAATGTATATAAATAATTAATATCTTTGTGGCTAAATCCAAATACTTTTATGCATTTAGTTACTAATTAATATCAAAAATTGATCTAAAGTATTTTAAGTAAGTAGTACTGTTTTACTGTACTTAATTAAAAATGCCTACTAGGTAGGTACCCGTTCAGCTCATCGCTGTACAAATCGAGCAAAACCTGGGTCAAATATACATTTTTTTAACTGAGCTTGTTTTATACTTATTAGTAATTTAGGTGGGTATCTCGTATCTGATCGCAGAGTGATTGAGGTGAAAGAAAGGGCACACGGTCCCGCGAATGGGTACTCAAAGGATCGAGTTATTAAAAAGTTTTTTCGGTAATTTACTCATGAGTCCAAATTTTAGAGGTATTACCTGCCACCGATCTATTAAAAAATTTTTTTCTATTAAAAACCAAGGTGGATTAATTTTTTCATCCGATTGTTTATTCCAAATTATTCTTGCCGCAGAATATTTCTTTTTGTCTCTAACTGATAACTTAATTTAAATATACCAAATTTAGGAAATAAAATAATTGTAAATTTGTTCTTGATCATAATAGTTTTAACAGGCTTAATTATTAATGTTTGTTTATCTGATAGGCCCCATAAAATGTTATTAATAATACTTTTAGTTCAGAAGTTCAAAACAAAAATTACCTTAGATACATGAAATTTTCACTGAATACGTGTGTAAGCATTTTCTATAGACCACAATATTTTCTAATATTTTGATTTGTGTTGAATTATTTAGTATTTATAGGCAAATTACATTTTCGAATATTATAAGTTTTTTTTAAATCCTAGTCGAAAAAAAATTGTCACCCTATCAAAAAACTTGAAAAAGTAATACACGATTCCTTGTAAGCTGTTTTTAATGGAAATTAAAAAAAAAGTTGAGTGTAAACCCACAATAACTTTTTATGAGTGCTTAAACTTAGAATTTTGACAAAATTCGTAAAAATCATGAAAATTTAGCAAATTATATTTAGTTGGAAATTCATAAAAAAAATTCTATTTATACCTATCTAAGTCTTAAAAATTTTATACAAGATTCCTTCCAAGTTTATCTATCTTTATAAAAAAAAAAATTTCTCCCGGAAAGTCAAATTAAATTTTTATGAGCATTTGAAGTTGAAATTTCTACAACATTGGATATTCACTCTATTTCTCTTGTAACGGTTTTCTTATTTTGTTATAATTCAAAAACGAATTACTGCAGACACTTGAAATTTACACCAAATGTTTATTTCATCAATTCGTATACTTGATACAATTTTCAAAATATTCTGACTTCTGACTCATTTTAGGCTGTTGACGGACATTTCCATTTTCCTTTTTTTCCATTTTTTTTTCTATAAATGTCAATTAAATTTTATAGGTTGGGTCAAAAAGCATGAAAATTTAATACAAGACTTTTGATAACTTGTTACAATAGCAGTTGAAAAATTACTAAAAATTCATAGGCACGTTTTTTTTTTATAAGCATTTAAAGTTCAAATTTTGACAATATTTTTCAAGTTGAAAATTGAAAATAATTTTGTAGTTTAAAATGTATAAAATGTTCAATTTTTATAGCTAAGAATTAAAAATTTAAAACAAGGTTCCACTTAAGCTGTTTTTTCCATAACTAATAAATCTAAAAAATATATTAATAAAATTGTTTTTTACAGACATTTTAAGTTCAAATTTGGACAAAATTGCATATTCACACAAATAATAATGGTTGTCATTTTGTTGTAATTCAGTTCCAAAATAGCCCAATTTTACATAGATATATTTAATATTTTTCCAGCATTATTGATAATTTAAGGATAATATTAATTCAACTTACCGGCTACCATATTAATAATAAGTAATAACAATATAAAGTATCCTACACTGACACACCGTCTCCGCTCAGAATCGTTTTTCGTATACAATGATTTTATATCATTGAATCCAAATTTAATACCATCCATTGCAGCGAACTGTAGGCACCTAATGTACAGCAGAGCGACATCGACTCATCTGCTTTTTTATGACTGACAACACTCTTTTGAACCAAAATCTTAGACCGATTCTAAACCTAAATCTTCAACTTAAACAATTGTTCCGAGAGTAAAGTGAACACAGATCGTACTTGGGTGGTCGGAAAGTTTCCTTATAAGTTATACTTTTCCCAATGTGTTCTCTTACCGAATAATATTTACTGTAGGTAAATGCTAAACATTACTGTGCGTAAGTATTATATTGGTCGAGTACTTATTGTTTTTAAATGGTTATACTTGTTTAATCTCTCATCTATGGTTCATACATTTATGTAATATTCTATATTATATATATTTGTTACCCGTGATTAACAATTTTATTTTATATTTTATAATTGTATGATAAATTACAAACACTTGAATTTATATTATATTTTAATGTGATAATTAATGATAAAAATAATTATTGTAACATTGACTACCACAACCACACATATGGTGGTTGACTTCCGACTGTTATGCTAGTTAGCTATCTAGTTAATTGTACCTGTTATTCTCTGCCTAAACCAAATAAGAAAATCGCTCTAAGGGAAAAAGTTAATTTACGAGTGAATTTTGCACAAATTTACTTCAATAATTGTGATGTACAATTCATATGGATATGACTATCCAGTCAATTTTTTTTCCATTAAAGGTCCAAAAACTTACTAGTAATCTTGTGTTCAATTTTTAAATCTTAGATTTAAAAAAAAAAAATTGATGTGTATTCCTAACTCAAAGTAATTTCTAACTCATTCTAACTTCATACCCTCATGGAAATTATCTGAAAAAAAATGTATGTTATTTATAATAAAATGAAAATTCCTATCGCGAATACGTTCCATTTGTTTTAAACCAAACTCGGCTTATTAATGTTCAATAGTTACACTTTTATAAGAAGCTATCTGTAAAAACTAAGATATAAGTTAACTAAAATGTTTAAAATAGGCAGGCGTGTAGAGGCGAAGAGGCGCACAGAATAAAAATAAAATAGTTATAAGATTTCATGATTTCCAGAAAACTGGTACCAGTGCTACAAATATAGGCATGAATTATGCTATTCCTCACTAAATTATTATAATACTTAGTAATTAGTATTAATTATAGGTATTATTGTACTAATGTATTATTACTTATCAGTATTTGGTCAATAGGTTGTTAATTTTTGTTGACACCACGTTTATATTTGTTTTATATTGCTATTGGCTAAATTGTGATTCATATTAATAAAGTAATAATTAATTATACATTCATACGTATTTATTATATATACATACTGCTTAGTGCTTAATAAAACTTATAAGAAATAATTTAGTATTATACTCCATGTCATACGCCAACACGCCCATATGTTCACATAGTACTTTGAATTTTCAAATACGACCTCTCAAAGGTACCAACTAGATTCCCTTTCCTATAAGAAAAGGTGCTGAAGTGTAAATTTAAGGATTATTATTATTAGAAAAAATGCTTACAGACAAAAAGTCATACACAATACACATCACTGTAAAATCAACAAATTGATCGCTCTACTCAGTACTCACTACTCAGTATCTAAAAACATAAAAGTTCTAAGCTCCGGTTCTCAGCTTATTTTACATTTCTGGATTCAAAGCTGTTGATCCTTGTTTTATTTTATTCAAATATTACACATCATGGCTTATTATTACATTCAGAAATAGAGTGGTACCTAGATATTTAAATGATATCTATTATCTTAGCTTTTGAAAAATCAGATTTTTATTAGGTAGGTAATAGTGTAATACAATCAATAAATACAAAAAATTATATCAAGCGGAAGTTTATTCAGTTTTTTTTCATTTAAAAATTATTGTTCATTACAAAATCATTCTTACATTATATATGTTTATACCCAGTTAAAGACAACATAGGTACGCCATTTCATTAAGTAAGTGAATCCATACAAATATTTATGCGAGAAAAAAATAATTACAAAAAATTGTCCTTGTTTATAAATATGTATATCATTTAATAGAAATACACCTACACGGTTCTTTTATTTTATAGGTATTAAGCGTAGTTTTTACAATTTAATATTATCAACCATACAAACCTACTATATAGCATACATAAATAAATTAACATAATATGATTCATGGTACAACAATATTGTTGATAGTTGATAAATAGTTTAATGATTTGTAGGTACTTATAGTGTGATCGTATAAATGAAAATATTGATTTTTACACCTAACTCGTCTCTTGAGCAGGTAGATACGCAGATAGTTTATATTAAATGAATGGTTTCAATCGCGTATTATTTCGAATTAAACAAATCAATAACAACCACGAACATTATATGTTAGTGTATATACAACAAAGATATGTTTAAGCAATTAAAATTATAGTCAAGTGCTTTTGCTACTTTTAAAAATAATTTTTATGTCCAAATCGATTGGAATTTATTTAAGAGGAGGGTGCTTATAGATTTTCTATTTTCATTTCTTACATAACATTCAGACACAGACAAAGTAATAACAAGTACACGCTGAATGTTTGTATGAAATATTCAAATCGTAATATTATCTTAGTTTTAAAATACAGAACAATATTATGTATAGTCAAAACAAAAGAAAACAATATTTTCATGTGAATTTAATTGTGGTTGTTTGATTTTTTTTATTTAACAAAATAATACGCTGGACATTCAATTTATCCAACATCTCAAACAATAACTTATGTATGTGTAAAACTTTATCTAAAAATGTTAAAGTTTACTAAGCACCCTTTAAAATATTGTTTAATTTTCTTTTTGCTCTAAAATCACTTTACAATTTAAACTTAGATATATAGATATATTATCTGATATAGGTACATGTTTTTGTTACGTTACATATTTATTCGTGGAAGATGAAAATTACAAATTTTGGTGTGATGTATAGGTAGAAACGATTATAATGAATACAAAAATAATAATTTTGATTGTAATAATAATAATTAAAATAATAATAATAATAATAATACATTTAATTTAAATGCATTGTATTTGGTTTTTGATATCTGCTAGAATATAATAAATAATTAAGCAAGTAATAATTGTAAAATCAAAATATTTTCATACATTTGAGTATTAAGTATATAGTAGGTACCTAGTTATAGGTATAAGTGTATAATTGATTTATCTTAGTTATTGTTATAAGTATTATCATACAGTTTTACATTTTGATGATAAGTCTAAGTATAAATTTAAGTATAGCTGTAATACATAGATAATATATAATTCAATGAATAGCTTAAAGTAGTTATTTTATTGATGAGTTCTAAAATTAAATATTTAACTTAAAATATTCTTAATATATATTAACCTAATCATTAAATCGATATTATTAATTGTTTCTATGATGGTGGATAAATTTTTATATTAACAAGACCATAGATATTACATTATAGATATTAATAAATCAATCCTTGCCAAGAGAAATTTGGATTATCGTTGTAAATGGAAACTAATACTGATTACTGGGAACGTAAGAATTTGTAAAATAATAAGTTATACGAGTTAATTTTATTCAGTATAATATAACAATATAAAGGTGTAAAAAAATATGTTGTGCGATGAAGACGATTGACAACATCTAAGATTATCACATGCAAAACTCTTATCAAGTTTATTTTATGGCACCCTGTTTGCTTATTATTTGTGCTTTTTAAACGATGTATTAGTATATGTCAAGAATTGATTGCAAATACAACAAAAGATATTATTAAGAGTGCCAATATCACATCCATCTAACGTTTTTGAAAACTATGGTGAAATGTATGAAAACATGATATTATGTATGCATAATACATACATTAAAATAGTACTTATACATGATATATGTTTTTTTCTAAATGTATTTCATTTTGTCGATATATATATATATATCTAATATCAAAATAATGATGTATTTTGAATTGTACAATGTGAAAAGTTATTCAACAACAAATTATTTAAAATAAACAATTAACTAAAACAACAATGTTTAGGAAAAAATATCATGTACCTAGTAATAAAAAAAAAAAAAATAATATTAAAATACACTTTAGTCATTACTCATTAGTTTTACAGTTTGATGATATGGTCAAAAAATGTTGGATATGTTTGAATATCATGATTTAAAAATGTAACAGCGTGATTAAAAACAATGAATACATAAATAGGTACATATATAAATAAATATAATTCAATAAAAATAAAAACTTTAAATCACGGAAATATGAATAATTGTAAAAGTGCTAATAGTCTAAAAATAATCCACTATAGATGGGTTCGGTAGGTTTCATATAATATAATATAATTAATAATTATATCAATAAAATATGTTTGGTCGACCGAAATAATTTTAAAATGAGATACCTAGTAGCTGGTACAGTATGTATTGACTAGGATAAATAATAATTTTCAAAATAAATTATTTGATTTCAGTTGTAATTAATACGTATTATTTAAATATAAAGTAGGTAGATACATCATAAGTAGGTAAGCCGACTATCATAAATGCGGTAATCATATTATACTTAAAAATACCTAACTAAATATTTTCAACCACCATCTGCAGGCATAACTCACCTATTGAATAACACCAATTTTTAAAGTCAATACATTTTTTTTTTTTTAGTTAGTAAGTATTTTTCATAAGTACTTAGGTAGGTACGTATAATAGGTAGTACTATACCTAAAATTACGTACCGGAACCTTGATAAATATTTTCTACCATAATATAATATAGAATATCATTGTTGAGTATTTTAATATAAATAATTACATGTTAAAACTTAATTCGAATAATTGATAGATTACAAATGTTTTGATTAACTTCCAACTAATAATTATGACGCCAACAATCACTTTATAACCAGGAATCGTGTAGTATAATTTTTACGTATTATATTATACAGAGGCATTTGGGAAAATTGTATCTTCCATCTATAAAACATTATACACAATGTACAATTGTCCACTGGTATGACCTGTACACGAAGTCTACATTTCCGAGTTGGCTAGCATAGGTACCTTTTTACCGAACGTGATACACCGCACCAGCGGTCAAAAAGTGTGAGCGGTTTTCGTATTCTATCGACAGCCCTTTTCAACCCTCTCGCCCTAATTTCTATTCAACCCGATCACGAAAACGTAGTATACATCTTTTGGGGGACTACGCACGCGAGCGTATTACAAGGTAACGAAATGTACTGGTCGGTCGCGATTTTCGTGCGTTTCTATAAACATTTTTCTGTTTGTTACCTAACCGCACACGTCGATCAAACGCCGAACAGTTGTTCAAAACACGACTATCTCAGTCAGGCGTCGCGTGTATTTTAACGACGAATGCCCGATAACCGGCACGCGGCGAGAATTGTTATTCCGCGAATTCAGTTGCACGGCCTTGGAGAATGAAAATGTATATTTGTGTTGTTTACGTAATTTTTTTACCAAAATCGTAAAAAAAAGTACCTTACGGACGTGGTTTAAAAGAAAAGTCAACAAACGCGATTGTTATTTGTTTTACGGTGCTGCAACTATTCCGTTGTTGTGTAAGTTTTTATATGACTGCGACGGGTACGAGCTGATTAGTATTAAATAAGATTGTAGGAACGTCGCACAAACGTCGGCCTTACTGCGATAATGTTGATCTATGCCACTGGCTCGATCGCGTTGGCGACTGAGAATTTCCTCAATCCTTAACCCTTCCTCTTCCTCGAGACTAAATAATTAATGAAATATTTTACATTTCTCACCTACATAAAGCGATGGTATTATAGGCAAACGTAAACGGACATTTTATTTTTTCCTATGTCGTTGAGGTTAACGCCATTAAAACGGTTAAGGGACTTTTCAACAACCGTAAAAATACTATTATGTCCGCAATATCGAATTATTATTTTTGTGAAACTTATTTGGAGGTATATCGTGTTGTAACAAAAATAATGTGTGGACAATTAATGAACAAACAAATGTATCCATCAGTTGTTTGAGAAAAAAATCAGTAAAAAAATATTTTTTCTGTAATTGGATGTTTATGTTTTTTTTTTTTGGTGTTTAATCGACGTCGTACAAAATGTCTAGGTAATTGTGACTTATAATGCTGTTCTAAATCTTATGGTCGTCAAGGTACCTATATGGTATTTTAATATTTTACTCGAAACATGTTCACAATTATATCGAAACACGTACCTACGACGTTTAGTCGGCAGTCCTATATAGTATTGGGACTATGTATATTGTATATTATAATTTATAATGAGTTTGAGCGACCAGGATACAATTTTATTTTGAGACTGGAAATATTGTCTGATATTTATTAATTTATTGAATGCTATTGCTTATTGCGTTATAATACAATTTATTAGTGAATTATTAAAAATGCACAATCAAGAAAAATAAAACGTTTGACTATTAGTTATGCATTATACTCAATAATTTATTACTTGCAAGTTCGATGTTAAGTACAAGTGGTAGGGTTATATCCAGGAACAGATCCCCTGGTGGAAGAGGTGATGAACTTAAGGGGCTGTGGCTTTCCCCAGACACACAAACAAATACTTGCACATTTTTTCGGAGATCATTAATTGTTATTTCCAAATGAATGATAAATACGTTTTTCACCTATGCAAATGAAAGATAAATTTCATTATATCTGATGGTACTTTTGAAATGAAAAGTGAACGAGGAAAATTTTGTTGGATATATTGTGCTCATAAGCAAGTAGCCACTCTCAAATCTCTCTGGATCCGTGCCCGGTCCCTATCTGCTCTCATGTGATTTCTCTCGGTTACACCGCACGTTTGGCATTTGTCCGTGAGGCAGCACATAGTCGAAAATACATCACAATACTACGTACATCACAATAATACACAGAAGATACTGTGCAGGTACATATCGGTTACATGCGTGTTTAAGCCGTTTGGTCGTTAAGTTTGGACCGTGCTGGTCGTTTACCACTTGATAATAATACCTACTCTTGTCTTACAAAAATACATTTGAGACTAAAAATACTAAACTCAATATAAATAGGTTAGTAAAATAAAGTTCCTTTAGGTCTATTGTTATATAGGCTTAGAAAAATAACAATCGGTCGTGTGTCATATTTCTTCCTATTTCGCGTTATAGAACGTTTTGAATAGTGTGTGAGTTCGGCACATCAGCTTTATCGACACCTACAAAATAATAATAATAATAATAATAATAATAATATTGCTGATTTATAAACGTAAGAACGGGGAGTCCCTCACTCCCACCCAGCTGTGGCAGGGAACACGACTGACTAGTATTTCGAGAAAATAAATCGATTAACAAAATAAAATATTAACATTTTATAATAGGTAATAATTATAAATAAATAATAATAATGTACATAAAACTTATAAATAATAGGTAGGTACTTGAAACGAAGAAAAGTATCTACAGAAACTGAGGGCGCAAACAGTAAAAATACAAAGGAAAGACGAAATCATAATGTCCAGGAAAACTATGGGTAGGTACTAATTAAAAAACCGTGATTGAGCAAATCCCGTTTTTCGCAACGAACAAAAATTGGGGGACCACGGCAAAAATGAATTGCATGTGCAGTGTCCACATGGCATGGCGTAGGAAGGTTTATAACAAAAAATTGTTTCCGACGGAAATCCTTCGGCTACAACTGCTCTAGTATGTCAGACTATGATGTCCTTCAGGCTAAGTATGTTTGTGTTTTTGTATTTTTCCTTGTCCACATTCAGCGATGGTTCGTTCTTCTTCGTCTGCGTGTGCCACACTAATATCTTTAAATAACAAACGAAACATGTCAATTTGTACGGGTTACATAAACACGACACATATAAGTGCTGATATAAATTCAAAAGTATGATTTACAAAGATAAATCTCATCGGTAAAATGTGCTCAATAACCTACGTACAAAAACCATAAAACATATTATATACACTTCCGAACGCGTATAATGTATATAGAACAAAACATTTCGGATGCCAGTTACATTTCTGTTTGTCTTTAAGTAGGTATGTGTTAAATGTTAATCAAACTAAATATTCGAACTCGCATAGTATTCACATAGGTATTATGCAAATACGATTCCATGGTTTGACCCAATTATACGTATATTATAGTCGATCACAGTATTAGTAATTTAGTATATTTTAGTTACTTAATAATTTGTTATCTGTAAATGTAATTGTTTTCTTTGCTATGATGTTGACTAGGATTGGCGGTACAAGTTTCTAAGAAAGTGTTAGTCGCATATTAATCAAGGATGAATTTGATAAACAATTTAGTTACACTGGACACAGAGGAAATGAAAAAACAAATTCACAAGCTGTATGCTTTCATCATTACTAATTAGTAAGTACGATATGATTTTAGTGATGATTACCATCCACGCGTTACTTGTGAATATGCATATTATTACTATACCTAGCTCAATTTATTTTTAAATATAATATACCTGCCTATTTCCCTGTACTAAATCTACTACGAAATGCCCACTGTGAAAATCCGTATTTTGGCACACGATCCTCGGCGAGTTGAAGATAAAAAAACCTCTAAATCCCCCCACTCTGCCAAAAATACTGCATGGACTAGATGATTTTTCCTCGCACCTACGAAACGACCAGGGTTAATCGCAAGCTCGGACAGTTTAATTCGAAAGTATCCATCACCTTGTAATGAAAAAAAACGTGTGCCAAATTTATAAGTAGAGACAGGGCATATTTTGTTATTAGAGCATATCATTTGCATATTTTACACATTTTTAATAAATAAATAATGCATCTTATTTTATCTTCTTTTTACTATAAAGCTGAGAATTAATAGGCACCTATGCCAGACAACGATTAATTTGAAATTATCACCGAAAAATGTTTTACAATCTAAAATAATATTTCTAATATCTATGCTGATAATTTCGATCAAATAATATAAACTATACTGTCGTAGTGCTGTAGCTTATGATGTACCTTTGGTTAGACCTGATTTATACTTGTCTTGTCATCAATGTTTATTAATTATTTTTTATTTAATTGTAGCATTTTTTAACTCCTACATTGCATATTTGCATATTTCAAAAGTTTTGTGCATAGTTTTGCATATTTTGTCATTAATATCATGCATATTATATTATATTATCTATACCACGATCGAAGTAAAAAATTAAAAATTTTGACGTTGGCTTGATGTTATTTTAATGCAATTTAAACCCCAAGAGCCAAGAGAACGTCACGACCAAATAAGTTGTCGCTGACTTACACATGCAGGACGTATAACAAATTTGCGTTCAACAGTTTTATAGTTTTGTATTGTCAGTACCTATAGCTTTAATATTAGATAATATTATACAAATTGAAGGTTAGAACATTATCTGTAGTCTTTTTTTGGTGTTTTACAGTGTTTTCATTTTTAAGTGAATTATTATAATACATTATTATGTATATTACTATGATATGTGGCCATGTTTAGGTGTAAGTTTAGACCCCAATTTGACCATCTGTTTTGTGTATTGGATTACTACAATTCACGTATAGTACAATGCGAATAGTTTTGTGAAAAATATTTAACGTTTACCGAACGTAGTAAAACACAAACTATAACTTTTGTTTGAATATGTAAGACAAACAGGTATACCGCCTATACAGTATAATATTGCATACGAAATTGTTGTTTTTAAATCATTAACCTAGAAAATGTAGGTACATTAGTTTTTTCAATATCCAAAAAGCTCATGAAATAATTAAAAAATGTGTTATTGGACATATTTTATATTTTTATAATTAGGCATATTTAAATTCAAACTACGAAATTAAATAAAATACGCCGTAATTTATTATAAGTCAACAGTTTTTGTACATTGAATTATTGAGACCACTGAGTTGTGATAAAAGTATATTGAAAGATTTAACTGATTAATAATAAATTAATGCACTGCGCTGCACTTACTTTGGTGCAATTATCTGCTTTTAATTCAATTTGATCAGGTTCAAAAGGAGCTAAGGTTCTCAAAAAACCATCTTCTTCGAATCCTGGTTTGTAGGGCATTTGAGCATTAGGTCTCTAAAAAAAAACAATTGAAAAATAAATGTTATAATCTATAGAACATATATGTATAGTATTATAATTCAATACTTTGAGAGGACGTGTGTTGTCTCCGTCTTACAAGGTGCGTAACATTGAAAATTTTAAGCTCAGAAAATCACGTTTAGTTCCATTTTTTTAAAAACCATTGTGAATTGTCGTCGTCCTCTTATAAAATTGAAAGGCGAGATTGTTATCCAAGGCATCTTAAAGGGTTTTTTTATTTTATTTTCATTTTAATAAAGAGAGTAATGAGTATTTTAAGACGTACAAACAATTTACAATTTTAAAATATTAAAATATTCATAACTAGCTTTAAAATTAAAATATAATAAAAAGCCTAGATTCTTTACATAATAATCTTACCTTTCAATTTTATAAGAGGTCAATTCACTCTAATTTTTAAACTTACGGAGCAAAAACGTAATCTGTCGAGTGTAAAAATTGGTATGTTAAGCACTTGCAAGACGGAGACAACACTGCGGGTACCATATCCTCTCAAAAGTAACTGCTTAAATAATTTATAATATCCGTAATTCGTATATAAGTACTAAGAATTATACGGATATTAGAATTTTATAACTTAAATAAGATATCCTGATATACACGAAAATCCAATAATTTATTTATTGAAATTTATTTTTATAACTGTATTTCAATCAGTTATCAAGTACACACATTTAAAATCATTTGTAGATAATTCGATTAAAAATTCACATTAATAGTTGACATGTAGATGAGTTTTTTTCATAGTTCTATATGGTTATAATTTATAATATTGTAAAATTAAACAAAATTTACGAATGTATAGACAATTAAAATGTTCTTGCTTTCAACTCGTTTTTTAACATTTATTATTTATTTTCGTTCTGGCTTAAGTAATTTGATCCTTTGATGAGAAATTCAGCAAAAAGCTTAATGCGATATAAGGTTTTCTCGGAAGGTCTAAAACTTCACAGACAACCAACAGGATTATTCGCCACACTGGGAAAGTAATATCCAAAATATTAAAAGCAAACAGAAATATATAAACCTCTTTAAATGCTTACATATTTCCAAACATTTTGTGTTTATCTTAGAATTAAATTTAAGTACTTTAAACTATTTAAGTGGCAATCGAATAAAAATTATTTCTATACTTTTAGTATAAATTAGTATAATATTAGAGTTTAAGTTTTAGGTACGTGTAACATAAATATTATACATACGGAAGTAATGCTTAATGCATGGAACTGGACTTAATTTTAAGTTATAAGTGGGTTATTTTATATTTAGGATTAGGAAAAACAATTTGGTGTTATATTATGTTTTCATATCTAAACCACAGTGTGTGACGTAAACGTTTAAATGCATATGATAGAAATTAATGAATTCAATTGTGAGAAGTCAATGATTCTTTTATAAAACCAAAAAAAAAATGTAGATGTGTGAAAGTTGTCAACTTTTAAAGCGGTTATCTGTACTAATATAAAGACAGGTACGATTACAAGGTAGGGTTAATGATGGGAAGATTTTTGGGTAATATCTTCAGTAAAAATGTCAATTTTTTTAGATTTTTTCGATAAAATAATGAAACTTTAGATTAAAACTTGAAATTTTGATCTAAAATTTAAGAACTCGATAATATTGATTTTGTTTACGTGGTTGTTCGAAAAACTTTATAGATTCTGTCTAGACCGTAGGTACGTATGAAACAAGACACCACTCAGAAACGATATAATATTTGAAATGTGACAATAATCTCTTAAAAAAGGAATACACAAATAATTGTCCTTAAACATTTTACATAGTTTGATATTCTGATCTGTAAGTACGTATTTAGTGACTTGTATATAATCTACTACAATGATTCACGTTTCAAAGAATTATGAAGAAAAAAAACGTTTTAAGCAGCAGGATTACGCATCAAACTGTATCAAATGATATTTCTAGGACCAAAAAGAAACCACTAGTGCTAAGCTCTATCGAGATGTTGTTCTTACTACTTACCAATATATCAGAAAATGCATTTTCTGTTATCTTAAATTTAAAATAACAAACAACATACGATAAAAATACTTAAAAATATCCAAGGGCATAAGTGGATAAATCAGCATCACATAATCCCAGGGTACTCAAGTATTTTATTTCCGAAAAATCTCATATAAACGATAACATCGTTTTCTACATCAAAAAGCTCGTATTATACATTTCAAATTGGTAATCGTTAAAAAAAAACAAAAAACATATTTTTAAAATACCACTTTGATAAATTGTTGAGATGTGCTGAATGATTTAATTTAAACATTTTGTAATGCTTTTATTTTATCTTGATAAAATATAACTTGTATAGGTATATATATCACGTAGAGATAATAAGATTTTATTTCTGGATATTCAATATCTAGAGATTTTCATACTTTCTTTCATTTTTTATATTATTTAATTGTGTTATTATTTGAGTGAAAATACGTAGTCTTGTTGATAGTCACAAATTGTTTAGTCAGTTAAAAATTGTTTTCCCTAAAAGGATGTTAAAATTTTGTAAATGGGAATTTTTAAATCCAATAAGGCAATAACCAACGATGTGTATGAACATTCTAGAAAATTCGCGAACGGTAATATTCCATAATTATTAGTCGTCACCTCATATTTTTTATTTATTTCCTTATTGGTATTTTCTTCTCTGTCATTTTCCGGAACTCTTTTAGGATTTTTAGGCTTTGAAATGTTAACTTACTTCTAGTAGGAATTTCACGCTAACCGCGAAACCAGCCATATCGACTGGAAACTTCCTGCCTGCGATCCAACCGTCGTAAAACCCAATTAACTGGCCATTCTTCACGATTGGTGTACTTAGGCCAGTCCTTGTACACAATCCTACGGGCCACATGGATACTTTTTGCGTATTGCGCATCTGTGTGCAGATAATACATTATTATGAAATATAAATGTACTCAAGTCAGTATAATAAATAATCCACAAAAATATAAAACAATTTATTTTCTGCTTTAAAATAAACGGTGCTAAAAAAAATGAGTATCTAATTTAAGGTACTTAATTTTAAAAAACTGGATAGGATATCCGATCGACTACTGAAAAATATCTGGTCAAAACTTGAGCTGGAAAATTTACTTGCAGAATTATTATCTGGTAGATCTGAGTATACATGGAAAAAATATTTGTTTGGCTGTAATTACGTTATTCGTATGAAAAATTATAAATAAAAAATAAATATGAATATTATTAAAATGAATTATTTTAAAAATGTGTCTAGGAATATTAATTTTTTCTAAAATTGTTATTCTTATAAAAATAAAAACAGAAATACAAAAATATTTTATACTTTACGTTATTTTTCCTTAAGCTTTCAAGAAAAAAATTTAAGTTAAAATCTTTAAAATTAAAAATAATTATTGGTTAAGTGTTATCTTAAAGTATTTAATATTCGAGTTGATAAATATTATGAATACTAAATGATATAATAATTATGTTATAGGTAAATATAAATCAAGTTCTTTATGTATAAGAACTAATATATAGAGAATTATTTCCTGCAAAAAGTTTCTGTTCTTACAGATTTAAAATGGTAGCTACACATCAAACAACGGACCAGATAAAAGCCTACATTTCATAGAAAAAGAAATATTTAAATTGAACAACACTGTAGCAATGTGAACTATATATAAGTACCTTCCTTGGAGCAAACCGGCTGGGGGGAGGGGGTTGATAATTAAGTCCTCATTAAGAGACTACTATATCTATATACTTTTTTTCCTACAACTTTGAATTCAACCCAATTAAAATTATTTAAAACTGCATTTTGTGATATAGTTATCCTACTATTGTATGATATAAACAGTAAACACAGACGATAATGATCGTTGTTTTTTATAGGAAATGTTGTAAGAGAATAATATAACCCGAAAATGTAATTTTTTATTACAGATATGTGTGTTTGACAAAAATATTAAATGTATATTGAATGTAAATTATGTAATTTTTAAAATTTGGGCTATTATGAGGTACTTACCATATTTATTAAATAAAAATATCTCAATTGTCAATGTATGATAATATTATAATAGAAATCCATGATAAGAATAGTTAAGAAAATGGATAAGAAGTATTAATTGTTATTATTTTGCTATTTCATAATATGTATATATTAAACGATCATTGTTGTATTGTTGTACATTGTATCTTTGAAATTGATTTATTTGTTATCAAATAATTTCGTACTAAACAATATATATGTATAATGTATATTATATATATATTATAATAATATAATATATTTATATCCAACCGTGAGCGACGAGCATAAAGTAATGCCGCCATTGATTATAAATCACTAGTGTCTAGTACTAACTGATTAAACCGTAGATAGAAATGGGCAGCGTCAAGTGAAATAAATAAAAATATTAACCTCGTTGAACAGTCTGACGTCATAAGTGTTATCATCGTCGGCGAAATACACTACGCCTTCGACGGCGTTCTGTCGGATCCATTTTAGACCTCGATTTCGATTGGCCACACCTTTGGGCTTGGCACCGCGGATTTTCTTAAATCTTTCTGGCATCGGTGCTGAAAAATATTTAAGCGCATTGTAAGAAAATGTATGTATAATTGGAGTGTTGGTCATACTATAACAGCGTATAACGAATCAATCGTAAAGGTGTCTTTGAAAACCCACTACCGCGATTATATACATGGCACAGGCCACGGAGGGAGAGTATAGTGAGGGTATAGTGTGGGAGGGTAACCCCCTGTTGGAAACTAGGCCCCCCTAATATATTTATATATTATTCAATTTATTTGGACTGTTGTGTGGCTGTGTATGTACACAGACTCATTCGGTGAAGTAGGTGTATATGTAAACCGTACTGCAAGCTTATGTCCGTATACTTATTTGTAAGAAGAAAAAAATCAATGTTTCGAAAAGCGTTATTTTACACAAGTTATATTCCCCTTTGTAACCCTTACACGCGTCCAACGCGGTATATATAACTTTATCAGCTTATATACAGCGAGTAGTACTTCGCCCCGTTGGTCCCCAGTGACCTTAACAATACACCCAGATAGAGCCAAACCTCGATCGATGGATTTACCACCCTACGTGGTCATATAATATATTTATATATATACCTATATTGTGATTTTCACGAAACTTATATCATGTTGCACGTACAAGAACAATACAATGTACGAAACCTTATCATTAGCGTATTTAATACAAACCAATTAACGCAATGATGAGAAAAAAGTGCCAGCATCATCTATAATTTGTTTACATATTTATAACTTTATATGTAAAATACAACTAAAGAAAAATATCTAAATCAGTAAATTTGTTACTCAAGTATATTCATTTTCAGCAGTATTTATTGAAACCATTTTTCAAAAACTTGTACCCAGACAGATCTTTTCATTTTAATGTTTTAGTTGTATAATATTAAGATACGCTTATCACTAATTCATCGTCAAAGAATACAACTTGTATGTAGAATATATAATTTATTTTGTTAATTCAATGCAGGTATAAGACTTTCGGGTCTGTGAAAAAACAATAAAATACGAACAGCTACGAAATAATATTAATTGGGATTAATTAGTCATGCAACATACAACAGCAGAAAAACGAATAATTTTTTGTTACACCTATATCCACCAAAATTAAAGAGTTACTATAAAAGGTATTAGATTAAAAATTATTACGTTTACGTACATGTCTAATGCAACTCATCATAGTATGGGATAGGTTGGGTCTAGTCATGTAATGTTTGTTTACTGCTTTATAATAATTAATAACTAACAAAATTTTATTTTTTCGTCGTTTTATCATTTTTATCTTATAGCATATTACCAGTAATACTTCAACAAACTTTTTTGATGATCCACTTTTTATCTACAGCGCATTCAGTGTTATCAATTATCATCAATAATAAAATCATTATCTTTGATAAACCCACTTTTACAGGGGCAAAATGAATACTAGAGCCTAGGACCTTTATATTATATTCATTATTCATGAATAAAAACAAAAAAATAAATATTTTTTTCTACCTTCCTAAGAATAGTTCATGCACATTTTGCTGTCGAACACACACATATATATTATATAAATATATACATATAGATGCATTGAATACTGCATACATAATACATATATTATTTGAGTTTCATCGTAACAGTTGTTTACATATTCTAATGCGTTTGGAAAATACTTATCCCACGAGGGGAGATGTACATGCAGGTAAATGTTTATTTTCAACCATTTTTATAATACGTAAATCATTTTTGCCTGAAAGTCTATACAATGTATTCAATGAAGATATTATAATATTATTCTAACAAGGTGTAAGAAAAGTTAAATAAGGTATCAACATTTTTCGAACCGTTATTATGCGGAAAATGGAAACAATGACGAACGCTGTGTCAACAATGATAGCTGAAACTTTTCTTTTTTAGTAATGTTTTGAAAGTTTAATAATAATATAGTACCTAAGTATGATATTATTATATTTATTATTGTTGAATGTCATTTCATACTTATACTACCTAGTTTTATTCAATCTAAAACAATCTGCAGCATTTCTATTAGAGAATTGTTCATTTATTTTATGCATATAATAATATATTATGTCGACATTACTTACTCATATTTAGCATAGCTATTTATTACAAGAGTGAAACAAAAGCACATTATATCATTAAAAAGATTACCTATACCTATTTCAGAAATAGATTATTCCAGAAACTTACTTTGTCGAGCTTAGCTCCAAATGTAAAATGTCAAAAACTAATTGTGTATTTAATTCACATCGTAAAGGCACGTTTACATAATTAAAAACTTTCCAAATCCATTAAGTTATAATTATACATTTTTTTTTACCGATGTAGTTTGTTTACTCATGTCACTCTGAAAATTTGATATTCTTATATTGAAATCAAATGAAAAAAATTATTCGTTTTCGTTACTTGCACAATAACTACTTTTTAATCCAAAATGAACGTCAAGAGCTTTTAGAGAAATTGAGTCTTTAAAAAATTGCAATCAAATGATTTTTGGAACTCTTTAACATTTTGAGAAGTTGCTAAAATAGGTTTTACCGTAACCTTTTACAAGGTCTTAGAAAAATGACAGTCAAGGTTAACATTTATAAAGTTGATTTTATTTTTTTATTGAAGTACATGTTAACTAATTAACTATTTGTGTTAGCTATTTATAACGAAGAGCTAGAATGTAATAAAAAATGCCACTGTCAAAATATTTAAACATAAATGGTTAAACTAATTTTATTAGAGTTATATTTTGGTTGAAAAACAAATTATAATGTATTGTATTGTATTGTTGGTATGAGGATTGTGATAACAAGTTCCAGCTATACATTATAAATGTATTCATTTTCAATGGAGCTATTGCTATTGTTATTATTTTTCATATTTATTACCATTGTCCCTAAGCAGTGTATTGTACCTTGCACCCCTGCAAGCGCCAATTAAATTTAAATCGGATGCATTATGTGCTTACGGTTTATTTTTTTACCCATGCACGTAAATATTTTCAACCCGGTTAATCCTTCAGTGAATATTTATGAATTATGACTGAATTGATTATTTAATTATTTGCGAATTCATTGAAGTTTGTTTCGATACTTTATCATTATCTAAGCGTCTTCGTTACATGAAATATTATTTAAGACAAATTGTGGTTACAGATTCATCTCTAAACAGATCCACTTACCTTATACTACTGCTTATACAGTATATAATACACTAAATTCATTTTAAAAGGTCACTCGACTTCGAGTCTTCCGTCAAATTATTCACAGCTTGCAGTATTATATACTTCTTTCATCAAATTTACTTGTTGTGTAATATATAGATTGTAAATAATTAACAAATGCCACTCTTTTTATATTTTTAATTTCAAAAAGGAAATACAATTTTGAGAATCATAAAATCGAAAAATAATTACATCATCCACTCACAGTTTTATACAATAAAAGCACAATTTAATTTTACGCGTTTTCGACAATATCGATAAATTATTAACGTTTTGGACGAACACAAAATTAAGCGGAAAGTGGATACCCTACAGCATGGTAGGTACCAACAAGTTATCGTGCGAATATATATCAATCTGAAAATGTAATTTGTAATGACAATAAAACCAACCCATTTAACGTCACAATTTCTGTCATACGTATATGTTTACTGAAGTCACATATATGCTGTAACGATTTTGATGAAATTGATGGGCTTACCAAGTACCAAGACTACGCGACTATATATTGTTTTTTCCTGCGAATCCGTCATTGTCATACATCAAATCGTTACGATAAAAATACAAGTATAGGTGCATATAAACTATGTGTGTATATATTATATTTCTATGGGTCGAGGTCGTCGCATTTATTTTCGAAAAATAATTTTGTGTTTTTATTCCACAAAATCGATTAGAAAGAAGTATTCGTGAAATTTGCCATGCAATAGGTATACCTCTAGAAATTCAAATTAAATTTTCATTATTTATTGGTTATTTCATTACTTTTTTTGTTTTTCAATATTATGATAATAAAATATGCTCACTATCGATTTACTGAAATGGTACCTTTTTTCATTAAACTTTAATTACATTTGACTTATAAAATAATAATATTATGACTTATTTGACATGAAAAATGTTTGGCAATCCGATGTTTTGAAAAAATATTTACACAACAATAACATTATGTCTATCTATTTTATTCTCAAACGATAAAATATTTTATTACAATTATGATTGCATTTCTGAAATGTATTATAACCAATAGTTATGGTCGTTATTTATTAACAATACATTTCCGAAGTACGATTTTATTAGTATGTATTTTTTAATTACTGGTAAAATATGTATGATTGATTATAACTGAAGAATTAGGATAAAACTCGTTGATAATCGATTGAAAGTATGTTTGAAATGTATAAAATGTAATATTGACAATAAAATATTTTTATTTAAAATCATTTTTAAATTGCGTATAACATAAAAAATCAACCAGTGTCAGGTACGTGGTACATACCTACCCATGCATTTGTTAAACAATTCGCTAATTCAGTGGTTATTTTATACATCATGAAAATCGCCATGTAAGTAACTGCAGTAAATATGTATGCCCCGTAAAACGGACCAGCTCGCACTTTACGATTTCGTAACATTCTCATTGCTGTAGTACTTTATCGACCATAATATAATTAAACAATATACTTTAACCCACTGGCTTATCAGGTAAACGAAAATATTTACAAATATTAAATATTGAAGTTTAAACTTTAAAATAACATTTGCAAATTATACGAGTCATTGAATCAACATTAAAATTTAAATAAGATGGGTATTGGGTATAGCTATACAAAAATATTTCAAAAACTCAAGAAATTGTTTCGATATAAGTAGTATAATATTATACAGTTGTACTATAATATACCAACGTTACATTAATTGATTTTACGAGTAGGTCGCTTACTCGTTTCTGTTACGTTTCATTTATTTATTATTATTATAATTATACATTTTTTTATTATTATTTAACAACCGACGGTTTGTGTTAATCTGAATGACATAAAGATATACACGTAGTTTTAATTTTGTCGGTTAGACATGAGCGTAGGCGTTTCCAGCTTAGATAATTGTAAAACCGACAGCAATATTATATTTTGTTCAGATAAATATGACGGACGTGAGTATGTAAACCAAACGAGTGTTGTTCGCACAGAGCATATTTAAACAAATATAATTATGTAATAATATATTATTAACTATTTTTCCGCTTTGACAATTTCCAGTGTGCGACATTAAGTAGGTAGCTATAACAACATGTGTCTAAAGCGATTCCGTGGTATAACGTATAACTAATAATTATTATTGTTATCGTAGACACGTGTATGCACATTTGTTTTATATCACCGCCAACGAGTGTTGTACAGATTGTTTACAAACTAACAATACCGTTTTAGCGGTGGATAGCTCAGGACAAGAGGAATAAGTTACTCATTCATCACTTTTTATTATTTACTTTACAAATCGGGCTTTTTCAATAACTGTTTTTTTTTTATGACGTTACACTTCCGACTCAATAGCTAGAAAAAATTATGTACCTGCGTATCTACAATGTTAATTTAAAACGACTCCTGTCAAGCTAAGCATCTAAATTAGCATTGTTTTTATAACAATAGGCAGTGTTTATACTTAATAATAAGACTGGTCACTAGAAGTAAATAATATGAATGACGAAGTTGGATTAAATTCGTTTAGACTTAGGAATCAATATAATATTAACAAAAATAATGTATGGAGTCGAGTTTTTTTTTTATCTCGAGATATAGGTTATTGTAAGAAGGTCGAAAGAAAATAAATAATTCTCAGTAATTTTGAAAACAATTGAAAAAAAAAAAGATTGGGACCAATTGAAATTTTTGCACAGAACCATTTTTTCTACAAAATCGATTTTTTCTTTTTGTAATTCAACATCCAATAGTTGTAGGAACTTCAAATTTTTCTCAAATATTTATACTATAGTTATTGTTCTAGACATTATTTAATTTTAAAAATATTCTGGCTCTTTTTATATTATGCTATTTATAGACATTTAACAATTTCTAGTTTTTTTTTCTTTAAATATTGGTAAAAATATTTATACCTACTTATTCAACTTCCTTCTTACATAACATTAAAACAATTTAAAAATATCAAAAATACATATTATGCACAGTTATTTTTATAAGCGTTAAATCTTAAATTTTGACACAATTAGTAAAAATCACAACAACTTACTAATTATTTTAGTTACCTAAACATTTAAAGTTTTTGATTTTAATACTTTAATGCTAGGTTGCATGAAAAATTATTAATTGAATGGACCAATCATGAACCAGTAAATCATATATGACCACATTGATTCGATAAATGTTTAGCAATTGACCATGCAACTATAAGGCCATAAGGCTTGGACATTTAATACAAATTTCCTTATAATTTATTCTTTCTATCAACACTAGAAATTTAAAATTCTCAAAAAAACGTTAATATTTTAACGAAATAAGATATTTAAAGATTTTGAACATAAAATAACAATTTTAGTTATTTTATTGTAATTATTCAAAAATACCAATCGTACAGAATTATAATTTTTTAGTTTTTCTGTATATTAATATTTAGTTTATGAACAACGACATTTTCAAAATATTTTTTTTTAATATAATTGATTGTATTATATCTTCTGCTACCTATTCTAGTTTAATAATCTAACCGAGTCTACAAGTATATGCTACAGGTTACAATAATTATTATTGGGTTTTACTCATATGGACGGCCAGAACTCTGGAGGTAATTTTGTTAATTTAATGTTTTTTATGATACAACTCAGTGATTTTTTTTGAGTACCTATAGCAATATTAAAAATGTTGTCAAGTATTTCTATAACCTAGCCTACATATTATTACTCATTAGGTCATTATGAACGTCCAGTAGGTACTATAATAAGAATAACACTAATAACTGTACCTGGATAATGTAGCGAGTACGGCGGATACCTATAGATGGGATAATTTGAATCCTATTATTATTATTTATTATTTAATAAAATAATAACATTATTACTATGTACTTTAAATGTATATGTAATACGAATTCTTGTGCACACTTCAAGAGGTGGGTACCTACTCCTTACTCGGGTTCAAGTGTTTTTGTACCTACCTATTGAAGAATAACGTACAAACACGGTATGATAGAAATCAACATCATTGCTATCAAGGACAAAGAACTACATTGTGATACTTTCGTTCGTTTAAAAAGCATTAAACGTAATCTACGGGATAAGCTATAATGTTATACAGGGTGTGCCCACCACTATGTACATACCAATTATATTATCGTTACCTACACGCTCATTAATTGTTCATATTTTCGTGCCGAGATAAATGATAGTTTTTATCGTCCATGCTTAGCGGGAAATCGTGAACTCCGCGGAACACTAAATTAGACACACACAGAGACGACGCGTCGCGACGTAATCACATAATATGCGTTTTTCTACTAACTCGCGTTTTCGCAGTAATAGTTACATCAACTATACTTCATAAATAAATAATCTATTGAAGAATTTAGTAACCTCTCAGACGGTATTTAGTGTTAGATATTGTTATTTGTTTGTCTATACATTTGGAATGACCACAATAATAATTATATTACCATATTAAATAATTGACTTCACGCATTAGTATGTACATGCATTTAAAAAAGAATATATTATTTGTGTACAATATGTATTAAATACAATTGTATTACATTTACTAATATCATGGTTGATAATTATTGTGTAAATGTACTAGGGATAAAGTGGGGTTACAATGCACCTACAATAATTAAAGAGTATTTTTGAATTTGATTGTTTTTTATCAAACATTTACAATATAGTCTATTTTTTTTAATTTATGAAGATGAATAATCTTATTTATTAATTGGTTTTGGTTTATCATATTTAAATTAGGAATGTAATATGCAATTAATTTTTTTTAATTGAATTTAAAAAAAAAACTGCGGGATTACGCGAGAGGAAGAACATAGGTACGCAATTCTTAACAGCTTTTTGATAAAAAAATATTAGCAAAACTTTTTTTCTTTCTAACTATGATTATTTATTAATTACTTTTTTAAATTGTAATTAAATTTTGACTGTGAGATAGTAAATTATAAAATATACCTAATCCATGCAACATGTATATAGAATTATATGGGTATTACAAAGTGAATATTACCAGATTGCTTAAAAACATAGAGCATAATTATCCCTGTCGGATTAATAATTAAATTTAGAATCATTAAAATGCACTTTGACATTTTAATCAATCTGTTATGATTGGGACTTTCCCTAATCTAAGAGAATAAATTAATTAGAACTGCTTCATAACAATAGGTATATACGACGAACGACTCATGTAAATGCATTTTTTTCATTCAATTTATTAGTATTTTATACATCACATTTTATACTAATCTTTGTGTTCATCATTGATTAACAATTATCATCAATTATATAACTCTAACAGGAAATGCGTTTTTCGCACAGGTGCATAATAATATTAATATAAATTAAAAATAAGCCAATGTTGATTATTAAAATGAAAAGTTTAATAATTAAAGTTTCTTTTAAAACTTTTAAAGGTAGAAGAAGTAATTCAGTGATAAAGAAACAAAGTAATGGAATTGCCTCTTCGTAACTCTTGTAGGTACACAAAGTAACGCGTTTAATATCTAAATTGGTCTGTAATATTGTTTTATATAATATACATGAGAGTTTTCTTTAACACTTTTATTATAAAAATGAATTCAAGTATAAGTGAAAATAATAACGAAAATCAATAATTATAATAATTATAAGCTTGGGACATATTTTCTTCCTTTGTTTTCGAAAGACGATTGCCTACTGGCTGAGGTTAAACATTTTTTTTATAACAACATTTATAAAATATTTTTTTTGTTTACAATAACTTTTAAAGGTGAAATATAAATGGTATAATATATTATTTAATATTGCGTATATTATTTGTTCGTAGACATTTAAAATTCGAGCAGAAAAATAAAATTATACTTCTATAATTCTATTTAATGTGTAATTTAATTGTTGTTGTTATATATATAAATAATTACACACTTATGGGAACCCCTATAATTTTCAGTCCCGACCTTTTAAATCCGGTCTGTGGCTTTACTAGCGATAAGTATATATAACACAGTGATTCACCACGATCTTTTGATTTTTTTATTAAATACAATTAAGATTTTTAAGTACTTATTTTATACAATAATTCTAAAGTCACATTTTTTTCAAATACTTAAAATTTGTATTGCATTCAATGAGTGTGTGGTAGTGATACATGCTCGTTTTCAAAATGACAACCTATCCCTCTATTAAGGTAAATCGTTTATCATTTAAAAAAAGTCTATGTACTTCAGTAAATCACTTATAACTAATATTCAGAAATATTTAGTCGATTACCTAATTATAATCATTACTAACTATAAACTGCTGATAGAATAATATCAAATGTCGAATTCTAATAGACCCCATCATACTTAAGTAGGTACATTTTATCTTTAGTATTTAGGTGGATTGAGTTGAACACAATTTCGATTTTAATACATCAGCTATAAAAAAATAAACAAAAAAATCATCCACTTGATAAAATAAACACACCAATAAGAGATAAAATTGATGGGCCTAGTGAACGAGGAAAACGAACGGACAAATGATAATAATACATTTTATTAGTATGTATTATAACGAGAAGAACAAACGTCCAAGGCGCGGAACTCACCGATCAAATGGTTGTATCTGACGCCGAACGACTGCAGCAGGACGCCGAGGTGAGGCGATTTGACGTGCGAGTCCTCGACGACCAGCCAGTGTATGTCTCTGACCAGCATGAGCGTCTGCGCCAGCCTGGTGAGGTCGGCCACCTGTTCGGGCCGCCGGTACGTCGGCGTGATGACGTAAACAGTGGTCGGTTCGACGGCGGTCACCGCGGGGCCACCACCGCTGATGAGGTTACCGAAGACACCACCGCCGACGCCGCTGCAACTGGCGCTGTACACCACGTACCGGGCTATCTGCCGCGAGATGCCCATCAGCAGGTCCCGGGACACGCCGGCGCTCTCGTCCACCACCACCTTGGACAGGGCCATGGACACCAGGTCCTCGGCCACCAGGTCGGGGCGGGCCACCGGTTGGCCCTGTTGCTGCGACCAGGCGCCGGACGTCTGGTACTGTAACAGCACCACGAACACGGTGCCCATCGCCAATGTCCACAGGATGCGCATCTGTATGGATACGGGCAGCATCGCGGCGGACGGGTGCCATCAATTTGCTAACCGCCGAGTCCGCGCTCTGAAAACACCAAACACGTGTTAAGGTAAAAATTGTATCATATAATTGTAATACTTTAAATCATTAAATATAAACTCCGGTGGTGTTTATTTGTGTCGGTATTTTCGCCGTACGACGTATTCGACTAAAGTGTATTAAATACTCTTTCTAAGTAGGCATACTGCTGTAAAGTTACAAACATTATAATATATAGGGTATATTATTATTATTTATCATGAAGCATTATGATGTGTATCTACGTGTTTGTAAATGTTGCTTTTGGGTGAAAACTTTGTAAATTAAATACAAAATCCATTATAAATTTAATTCCTGTATTACTTTTTTTATAACTGAGTTCAATCGTCTTTTTTAAATAAAGCAACAATGAGGTATCTGTATTGATATTCCACTAATCCAATCCACTAGTAATGTTTTAACATAATTAATAATTACTTCAGAATAATATTGTTAAAAGATAATAATAATATATTTTAAACTTGTGAAAAATATATACAGCTTTAATTAAAAATAAATATAAGAGACTGGGACTACCTTATAACAAGATAAATATAACAACCCCATATAATTAAATATTCCCAAGTACTTAACGCTTTTGTATTATGTTTAAGCCATTACGCTTATATACTATGTAAACAAGATGTAATAGAAGACAAATTAAATAATATTTAATTTTAATCAATATTAAATTGTTTTTATATATATAATTTATAGACGATTGAGATTCAAGTACAGTATAATATTATTGATTTTGATTTTTAATATTGAAAAAAAATTAATAATTAAATTTGTTGCAAAAATGTATAACGTAGCCAATCTATAGACAAAATATTTTGAAAAATGTCGATGGTGAAAACTCTCATTTAAGTCAAGTAGTTTATTTTTAATAATTATTAAAAATGTCAATAGTTTTTAGAGGTAAATTAATTGAAACGTAATAAATTATTTCAAAATATTCTTTTTGGGAATCTTTTAACATAAGTATATCTTAAATTGTTTATCATTCACATAACTTTCATAATTGTTTTCATACGTTTAGTTAGTATTTTTAGTGACATTTTTCATTTGTCTACACTCTGTATGTTATATACATGTATATTGTTTTACTATTTCATACTAATTTATTATGTTATATCTTACAATTACTTATAAAGTTCTAAATTATTATCTACAACATTCAAGTCACAAAAAAATTCTAAACAACAAAATAAATTTAATATCTTTTTGGTTATTGGATTGTCTATTTACGTATTACAGTGCGTTTTTTAGGTTTTTGAAATAATCATGAAGGTAATTTCAAATTTATTGAAGGTAATAATAATTTATTTAAAGTGTGTATTTTTTTTGTAACTTTTCAAAAAGATTATATTTGTTGTATGGATTCATTCAAAATCGATTTTATGAGTATATGTCACGCTTTGAAAACCTTTTTTTGACCTTTATAGAGCTAAGTATTTTAACTGTCAACCTTTGTTTCATTATTTTTGCCTTATTTGAACCATAAATTATTTTGGTTTACAAGCAGCCGCATTCCTACATAAAAAGTATTCAAGTGACAGAGACATCGTAACATTAATAATAATATAATCTGAGACTAGTTCATGCTATTAAAATAACAGAACACTAAATGTTTTTGAATACTTGTGGATTGAATACAACATAAAACAAATCTCATAAAGATGCTCTGTCCTGTAGTTGTTAAAAAACACAATATGTATAATGTATTGAGCTCAATGAATGAAGTGAAGTTATTTAGAGAGATAGTTTTTCTGCGTACTTACTGTTTAAATGCTTTCACTAAAAAATAACTCGTAAATGTGTGTACAATACACATTGATTTTATTGTAAAAGACAGTTTTTTTCATTCAGAACCTTATATAAATAATACTAAAATAGTGTATTATTTGTTACATAGTTTTCGATTCTGATAGGACTGATAGACATCGTTTATTGCAGATATCAATATTTGTCTCGAATTTGTAGTAAATAATTTATTTAATTAATGAGAAAACTGTTATTGAAGTAAACATAGATTATGAGTATACAAGCTAATGCGATATAGGCAAATTTTGTATGTATAAAATAATAAAAAGCATGTTATATCAGATAAGTTGTTATAACCAGCGTCTTTATTTTTGTATATACGAACGACCTCCATTCATGCTAAAGTAAAGCCTGAGATAGCCCTAGCTAGCAGCATATAAAATATAGGTAAGCAATCCCATTGAGTGAAATTAAGTCAGACCTTATCCAACATCCTACATTTTCATTTCCACTTGTAAGACCTATGTTGACCATGGTCTTCGTCACAGCTGCATAACTGCTTAGTGTTTAATTTTTTTTCGTCTCGAGGATAATATCATTGATATCATTTTGGGCAAAACCTTCATCTATAGATGATACATCGATAAGACGATGTAGATTTGGAAACATGGAGTTTGGCAGGACAGCGGAGATGATACTCAGACAGAAGAAGGCTGCCGACCGTGAAAGGTGGGTAAAAGGTGGACGGTTGGGTTAAATGTGGCTTAACCCTGTGGGCCTATCCAGAGAGGTTAAAGGCACCCATCTGGCCATCTATGTATAACGTATTTAAAAGTTGGTTTATAAACGATACAGGGCCCGGTGGCAGTATAATAGTAAACAGTTCCCATCCGTCCCTTGTTTTTTGAACAGAAAAAAATGTAGATATATTTATTTATACGTATAAAAGCGCATATTACATCAGATAAATTGTTTTCAGCGTCTTTACTTTGTATACTAACGATTAACGACCTCCGTCCATAATAAAGTAAAGCTTAAACTATGAACACGCGTTCACACCACCAGGCGCAGCTTCAGGGAAACCTAGGGTCACGGCCCCCTCCAAAGTCTGTATTTCTAAAAATTGTATATTTTTAAAAATAAAATTATTAAAAAAACATATTATAATAGAGAACATTTTCTGAAAATGATGACCCCCAACCCCCGACCATGTCACTAAAGTCGTTACTGCTAGCATCCCACATCCATTCCCACGTGTAAATCGTAGACTTCGTCACAGCTAGTGCTTAGTGCTTATAATATTGGCAAATTCCAAGTGTAAGCAACTATTGTCTTGAGCAGAATTTATTAATTCTGCTTTCAAATTTATTACACACTTTTATTGTATGTTTTAATGTTTGTATTTTAAAATTATAACTTAAAATAGTATATTGTATTTTATTTCATTAGCAAATTGGGTCAATTCTCGTTATTCAACTGTATTCGACTATATTCCTGACAGCCTGCAATACATCGTTAAATAATCGAATGTACGAGAAAGCAGTGTCCCGGGCGGTGTACTACAAATTTAATATTTATGGTATTAGTAAACCAGCTATGGGCTACGGGGGGACCACTTAGCATTCCACGTCACATTAGCTACTCCAATTTTCAGCATATAAAAAACACGATCAAATACATTGAGGTGTATGTTTTTCTTTAGCATAAAATATTAGTTAGTTTATGCGTATTGAATGTACTTGAGAAAGATCTTGATTTCACGTCGAATTGAATGCATAGATATTAGATATTATATATAAGTTATTTTGTATCTACATACTACTGAAATAAAAATAAAATTAATTAATAGTGCCTATTTTTTTTAACACAAGAAAACTAAAATATTAAACATATAATATATTATAATCTATGTTTATTTTGAGATAATATGTGAGATTTAATAAAATTAAAATATGAAAACAATTATTACATTTGTGGAATTAATTTATTATTGGAATATTATGATCTATAGGCATTTCAAATTTATATAATCAGCAAATAACTATAACGCAACAACGCACAAAATCGCAGTGCAGATATTATCATCGTTCAGGTGGTAAATACCAAGGTCTCATTTTGGACCTGACAATTCGTTGAGAAACAAATGACCTGCATCAAAACAGTGCAGAAATTGAAAAAAAAAATATCTATGAAAAACTTGCATTACATGACTTCAACGGTTCCACGACAAAATATCCCGGTAAAAATATCCCGGTCAAAATATCCCTAAACCAAAATATCCCCGACAAAATATTCCATGACAAAATATTCCGCGTAAAAATATCCCCGACAAAATATCCCCGACAAAATATAATATAATAGCTGTTGCGATTAGAAGTAATAATCGCACTTTATCTAATCTAGTAATAGGTATTCGTTATTTTGATAATGGTATTATAGTGTCATTTTATATCATTACCTACGTCCTACAGTGCGTGTCGTGAGCATTTAACAGTCTTAAATCAAATTTTTTAAGTAACAATTTTTATTTAATTATAAAATGCTAGAATTTGTTAAAAGCCAAAAAGGCAATAATTTACTAATATTTGAAGGATATTTATTCAGTATACACCGAAAGAGTGAAGAAAAAATAATTTGTACCCAATATATTTAACCAACTGTATACTATTCACGGTAATATTGACTGCACTGTATATCCACTTATATATATATTAATGTGTAGTAAAAACGAAAATAGTTATTCCGAAGTACTAAATCAAATTAATATACTCAAACCAAATTTACAATCAAATGCTATTGTGATAGATTTCGAACAAGCATTTATAAAATCATTTAAAGAATTATACACTGATGTTAAAATACATGGATGTTTTTTTCATTTTACCCAGTGCTTATGGCGAAAATTGCAATCGTGTGGATTAAAGAATAGGTATTCTACAGACTCAATATTTTCCCACGAAATAAAAAAATTATCGGCTCTCGCTTTTGTACCCGTTGATAATGTTATTTTTGCATTTGAAGAACTAATTAACTCCGACTACTACGTAGATAATGAAGAAGAATTACGAACAGTTGTTGATTATTTTGAAGACACGTGGATTGGGAGACCAACACGTGGTGGTAGGCGAAGAACGCCTACTTTTCCAATTAAAATATGGAATATGTTTGATGCTGTAATGGAAGGCTCTCCCAGGACAAATAACTCAGTAGAAGGATGGCACAGAGCGTTTAATTCTGCA